GATTCCTGAGTGCAGAGCCAGGAGTAACCCCTGAGCATCGCTGGGTGTGACCCAGAAAGCAAAAAAACAATTTCCCTCCCTCTTTGTTTGCCTAATGATTATTTTTTTAAATTTTTTTCTGGTCTATTTTTGGCTTTTGGGGTCACACCTGGTGATGCTCAGGGGTTCCTCCTGATTCTGCACTCAGGAATTACTCCTGGTGGTACTTGGGGGACCATATGGGGTGCTGGAGATCGAACCTGGGTCAGCCATGTGCAAGGCAAACTCCCTACTCTCTGTACAATTGCTCCAGCTCTTTGCTTGCCTAATTTTTATGGGTTATTCAAATCTTAGCTTACATGTCCCCTCCTCCAGGAAGCCTCCCTGACCTCCCTTCTTAGGGTGAAACATCCAACTTTCCTGGGATCTCCCAAACCCACTGCACTCCCACCCTTCACAGTGCTGAAGCAGCACATGGATTGTTCTGGGGGTGGGGACTGACTTCCTATTAACTGTGACCTTTGGGAAAGCAGTCCTGGGTCACTTCAGCCTTACTATGTTCTCAAAACCAACTAGTATGGGGTACTGTGTGACCCTCCTTTTTTGTTTTTGCTTGGGGGTTACAGCCAGTGATGCTCAGGGGTTATTCCTGGCTCTGCACTCAGAAATTACTCCTGGTGGTGCTCAGGGGACCATATGGGATATCAGGGATCGAACCTGGGTTGACTGAGTGCAAGGTAAATACCCTACCCGCTGTGCTATCACTGGTCCCCTGTATAACCCCCTGTCTGGAGATCACCTCACACGGGCTCCCTCCTGCTCAAACCATCTGTGAGGCCATAGAGGTTGGTTCAGCCAGGACGTCTATTATTTTTTTTTTTAACTTTTTTGTTTGGGGGCTGTACCCAGCAGTGCTCAGGGTTTACTGCTGGCTCTGCACTCAGGGATCACTCCTGGTGGGGCTCAGGGGACCTCATATGGTGCTGTAGATTGAAGCCAGGTGAGATCCCGTGCGGCAAGTGTCCTAACCATTGTGCTCTCTTTCTGGCCCCTGGGGGACTCTTAAGTATTGGTTTTCAGGTGATATATGGTTCAGTGTTTGGGGGACCCTGTGGTGCTGAAGAAGGAACCCAGAGCTCCCACATGCAAAATATTTGTTCCAGCCCTGGAATTTATTATCCTGGCCTTGATGAATGTTGAATAAATGATCAGGCGACTGAATGTATCTATGGAGAAAGAGAAAGACAGAGATAGAGACAGAGACAGAGATTGCAGTGGGGTGAGGGTCTCTTCAAGAAATCCTTTCACCCAGATCCATCCACCCCCACCCCCCAGGGAAACAGGTTGTGGCAGAGACAGCCTCACAACCCAGCCCTCAGTGACTGCCAGCCCCGAGGCATTTTTGCATCTCAGCACATTCCTGCCAGCCCGGTGGTGGCAGCTAAGAGTGGGAAGGGGGCATTTTGGAGAGAAGCTGGGAGGCCCCTAGTGTTCTGGGACCCTGCCAAGGCTTTCCGGGTCCCCTGTGCCCTGGGGGTCAGAACTCAAGCCCTGGGGGGTGGAAGGGTGCTGAGGTTGTGTGAAGTGACAGTCTGAAGGCCAGTCAGGCTGGACAATGGGGCAGGAGCTGCTGACAGTGCTTGGGCGATAATCCCTGGCCTCACCCCAGTCCCAGCCCCAGACCCCAGCTCAGAGAGTCCCAAACCTCCAAGGCAGGAGCTGGGTGGGTGTGAGGGACATGCGGAGGTACCTGTGCTTTCCGTGCTGGCCCCCAGGATCTGGTGAGTCAGGGCAAACTGGGGGCTGGGGACCCGAGGGGCAGGGTGTGGCCTGGTGGCCTTGGTTGGGTGTTGGCAGACCCGTGATACTAAGCCAAGAAGTTGGACCTTGTGCTTGGGGGTTACAGGCACACGCCCTGCATATGCAAAGTTCCAAATTCTGGGGCTGGAGGATAACAGCGGGTAGGGAGTTTGCCTTGCATGCGGCCGACCCGGGTTCGATTCCCAGCATCCCATATAGTCCTCCGAGCACCGCCAGGAGTAATTCCTGAGTGCAGAGCCAGGAGTAACCCCTGAGCATCACCGGGTGTGACCCAAAAAGAAAAAAAGAAGTTCCAAATTCTATTCCTGGTACCATCCCTACCCCTGACCCCACTAGGTCTGACCCTGGTGTTCCCAAATATGGTTGTAATCGAGTGGCTGTGAATGACCAGGCCACCCAGCTGAGTGGGCAATGAGCTGACTGTCTTGGTTGGTGTCCTGGATCCCCTGAGTACTGCTGGGAGCCCACGCCCCTTTCAGGAGACGAAAATAAATCCCAGAGCTGCCGTCTCACGTCTTGGGCCAACTCGACACTATTTGCTTCTTTCAAGTCTGGTCTGTTGAATGAAGGTGTAGAAGGCTGCTTTGGGGTCTCTTGGGGAGGACCCCAAAATTGGAAACAACTGAGCGAGGCAATTGGGCCAGAGAGATAGTGCAACAGATAGTGTTTGCTTTGCACGTGGCTGACCTGCACTGCATAATCTCCTGAACCCCATGAGAAATTACCCCTGAGTGCAGAGCCAAAAGGAAACTCTGAGCACAACCAGGTGTGGCCCAAACCCCCATCTCCCCCCCAAAAAAAATCGTTATAATCTGCCTTTTGTTTGTTTTATAGTTTTTTACCATTTTAAAAAAATTATTATTTTTTTGCCTTTTTGGATCACACCCGGCGATGCACAGGGGTTACTCCTGGCTCATGCACTCAGGAATTACTCCTGACGGTGTTTGGGGAACCAGATGGGGTGCTGGGAATCAGACCCAGGTCCGCCACATGCAAGGAAAACGCCCTACCCGCTGTGCTATCGCTCCAGCATCCCACATGATCCCCTGAGCCCACCAGAAGTGATTCCTGAGTACAGAGCCAGGATTAACTCCTGAGCACTGCTGGGTGTGGCCCCCCAAAATAAACCCATAAATTTTTATTGAGGTACCAGGATTTGCAATGCTGTTAATCATACAGTGTTAATACAGTATTAATCATGCAGTATGCCAACACCACACCCATCCCCAGAGCCTGTGTCCCATTGTCCCAGTGTCCCAAGATCCCTTTCATACCCCCAGCCATGTAAGCTCAGTTCTTTTTTTTTTTTCTTTTTGGGTCACACCTGGCGATGCACAGGGGGTTATTCCTGGCTCATGCACTCAGGAATTACTCCTGGTGGTGCTCGGGGGACCATATGGGATGCTGGGAATCAAACCCGGGTCGGCTGCGTGCAAGGCAAACACCCTACCCGCTGTGCTATTGCTCCAGCCCCATGTAAGCTCAGTTCTACAGACAAAATCTTCAGCTGCTGGGGCTGGAGCGATAGTACACCGGGTAAGACACTTTCCTTGTATGCACACATGGTTCAATCCCCGGCAACCCGATTCCCCAAGGCCACCCGATTCCCCAAGGCCCCCAGGAGTGGCTCCTGAGTGCAGAGCAGAAGCCCTGAATATTGGTGGGGAAACAAAAACAAACAAAACTGAACCTTCAGCTGTTCATTTTTTTCCTAGGGCCCTCCAAGCAGGGCTGGTGGGAGTCTGGGGTCACTCGCAGTGCTGCTGGGTGGTCTTGGATCACTCCTAGACATCATTACTGAGGGTTCGATGCTCAGTCTCTATGGTTCTGGGGGCCACCAGGGCTATGCCCAGAGGTGCTTGGAGGCCCCTGGGGTGATGGGAGTCACACTCAGCTCCTAGCACCTGGCAGTCCTTGAGATCTGACCTCGTCTCACACCTGGGCTTGGGAGTGGAATAGGAGGTGTCCAGGCCAGTACATGATACATGATGTCCCTCCCAAGTGAATATATTCATTCAATATAGAAATGGAGGGGCTGGAGCGATAGCACAGCGGGTAGGGCGTTTGCCTTACACGCAGCCAACATGGCCGACCCAGGTTCGATTCCCAGCATCCCACACGGTCCCCCGAGCACCGCCAGGAGTGATTCCTGAGTGCATGAGCCAGGAGTAACCCCTGAGCATCGCCGGGTGTGACCCAAAAATCAAAAAAACAAAAAAAAAAAAAAAGAAAGAAATAGAGCTCAACAGTGCCCCCTCTTTCTTCTGGTAGGTCTCTTCTGGACTGCTTGTTTTTTGTGAAGAAAAATACAAATTGGGGCCAGAGCCATAGTCCAGTGAGGAAGGCAATTTGCCTTGCACACAGCTGACCTGGGTTCGAACTCTGGCACCCCAAAGAGTCCCTCGAACTTGTCAGGAGCTGTCTCTGAGAGCAGAGTGTAAGCCCTAAGCACCACCAGGTGTGGCCCCGAAACCCAACCTAAACCAAACAAAAATGCAAAGGGGTGCCAACTTTGTGCAGGACACTTGGGTTTTGTTGTTTTTTTGTTTGTTTGTTTGTTGTTCTGTTTTGTTTTTGCTTTTTGGGTCACACCCGTGATGCGCAGGGGTTACTCTTGGCTCTGCATTCAGGAATCACTCCTGGCAGTGCTCGGGGGACCATATGCTAGGATGCTAGGAATTGAACCCGGGTCAGCCACGTGAAAGGCGAACGCCCTACCCGCTGTGCTATCGCTCCAGCCCTGTGCAGGACACTTGGAAAGGCCTGTAGCATCCTGGAACATCTCTCATGGCCCCCATCTCCAGGGGGACCTGTTTGCTATTTATAGATAAGCTACTGACCTCCTCCTCCCCACCTCCACCCCCCAAAGGTGCTGGGATTTGCTCCAAAATGTCTAAACTGGGATTTGAACCTGGATTCCCAGGGGGGAGGAGAGGCCAAGAGCTGATTTTTTGCACCCAGGGCCCAGCGGGGCAACTGCATTGCTCGCCTACCCCCTGGAGATGCCTGTGGCCTGGCGGTGACAACTGTCCAGCCCCCGTCATAGGATTCCGCTGCCCGCTGCGAGAGGGGATGTTTGTTTCCCCGCCACCCACCCCCTGGTGATGTCATGCCCCGGCAGCCAATGGCTGGGGTCTCCCCCGCCCCAACATTCCTTTTCCCCCCAAGCCCCGGGCTGGACCAAGCAGAGAGACCGGGAGCTCCCGCTGGTGTCTGGAGGCTCAGAGGTAAGAGGAGAAGAGGAGACAGCCCATTCCCTGCCTGGCTAGACTGAGCAGCTTTGGGAGGCAGACCTTGGTCCTGGGGGTGCAGGCGTGCCCTGGGGGTGCCCTGGGGGCCCAGGAGGCAGCAGGGTAGAGGAGTTACAGGCATAGGCTTTGAAGCCAGAGCCTGGGTTCAAGGCCAGTGCTTGCCTCCTGCTGGCTGTGTGGCCTGGACTAAGACCCTTTTCACTCTTGGTCTCTGCTTACCCATCTCTGAAATGAGCTGATAAAGGCCACCACCCAGGGCTGAGAGGAAAAAAGCTGCTGCTTCTGGGGCTAGAGCAATAGCACAGTGGATTGGACTCTTGCTTTGCGTGAGGCTGTTCTGGGTTTGATCCCTGGCATCCCATATGGTCCCCTGAGCCCTGCTAGGAATAACTCTTGAGCACTGCTGGGTATAGCCTCTTCACCCCAAAATAAGTTGCTGCTTCTAACAAGCTGGGACAGGAGTATGGGGTGGGGCTGGTCTATAGGGGTTCCCATTAGGGACCCCCATTTCATCCCCTATTGATGGGAGGGAGGGCCCTATCCCCGAACCACATTTTGTCCTTCACCCAAAAGTCTCTCTTTGGCTAGGGGAGAAGGTGGGAGGCCTCTGGGGAGCAAAGATTGGTTTATAAGCCCCCCATGACTGTCGAGATAAGTTGGCACAACTCCACCACTAACCATTCCCTGGGCTAGCCTCTGAGTCTGTCTTTCTTGTTTTTTTTCTTCTTGGGTCACACCTGGCGATGCATGGGGGTTACTCTGGCTCATGCACTCAGGAATCACTCCTGGCAGTGCTCGGGGGACCATATGGGATGCTGGGGATCGTGAACCCAGGTCAGCTGCGTGCAAGGCAAACACCCTACCCACTGTGTTATCGCTCCAGCCCCCTGAGTCTGTTTTTACAATCTCACAAATGCTGGCAGCTGAAGTGATAGCATAGCGGGTAGGACATTTGCCTTGCGCATGGCTGACACGGGTTTGACCCCTGACATCCCATATGGTCCTCCAAACACCACTAGGAGTAATTCCTGTGTGCAGAGCCAGCAGTCACCCCTGATCACTGTTGGGTGTGGCCCTAAAATGAAAAAAAAAAACTCACAGATGCTTGAAGCTGCTTAGACTGGCTCCATTGTACAGATGGAGACACTGAGTATCTAAGAAGTAAAACCCAGTGCCCAAATGCTGGCCTGAGGAAGAGAGGAAGGAGGTGGCAGAGGTCACAGTGCCAGCACTTATTCCTCCCCACTGTGCCCAGCCACATGCCTGGGAGAGCTCAGGGTCCAGGGTGGGTCAGGCTGACCCCCCTGTCTCTCCCCTATTCCTGGGATCCAGGTCACTGGTGTGGGGAAAGAGAAGGCGATGGGAGGGTGGGGGGACTCCCAAGGTTGGGAACTGCCCCTGGGGGAAGAAGGTGCATGCCCAGGGGCACAGCCAGGCCCAGCAGAGGAGGCCTAGAAGTCCAAGGGCAGCCCCTGCCCCCGCCACTCTGAAGGGTAAGGGTGCGACTTAATGGACATCTAAGCTGGACCATCCCTAGGGAGGTGCTTGGAGGATTTACAGTGCATGTGTGAAGGAAATAGTTTTATTCAGGAACCAGGAGAGGCAGGGAGGAAGCCATAAAGGAAAAGAGAATCACACACCCCAAGCTGGGAGTCAGGAGGTTCCCGAGGGAAAGGCACCTTGGAGGAAGAGAGGGGGATCCATGGACACAAATGATCAAGAAAAGGGGCAATGTGGAAAATTCTAGAAGCTCGGGTACTGTAGGCATCCTGCTTCACAGGACACTCCTGAGATCCCTCCTTGCCCTGGCAGTGGGATGGGCAGAGTTAGGTACAGAGAGTGCCCGGGCTGGGGTGAGCTTCCTTCCGAGGCTGCCCCCGCCCCAGCCAGGAGCTGGTATGAGGCTCCGGAAGGGCACACTGGGCTAAATATAACCTGGGCTGGCCGGGGCCCAGGCGGGCATGTGGGGGGGGCACTCTCTTGCCCCTCACCCTGCTGAGCTTCCTGGGCCAACCTCTGGGTGTGACCCTGACGGCTGATGGCCCCAGCCTGGAGTCTGGAGCCTGGGGTCCAGGGGACCCTCCATTCCAGTGCCCCACCTCCTCTAAGTCCCAGACACCCCCACACAAGCCCACATCAGGAGGTCGTGTCCTGCACGCAGGTCTGGTCTCTCAGATGGGGATCCATGTCCTATCCCTGCACTACTCATTCCTAAAAGAGGGGAGGGTACCTTTTCCCATCTGTAAGTGCCTGTGAGTGGCAGGTCTCATCCCATCACTGCATGGGCCCCCAGCAGGGCCTAAGCGACTCCTGGACCAGAGCACTAAGAAAGGAGTATCCCCTGAACACGCTTTGGGTGTGGCACCCAAACCAACCCCCATCAGCACGAAAAGAGGCCCATTACACAGGCATCTTAGAGTCCCTGCCTCCCCCAGCTGGGACTAAGACTGTTGGCCTATGAACCCTCCCTCAGAAGATAGCCAGCAAAGCCGGTGGGAATACCACCTCCTCCCTTTTTCTTTCTTTCTTTCTTTCTTTCTTTCTTTCTTTCTTTCTTTCTTTCTTTCTTTCCTTCTTCCTTCCTTCCTTCCTTCCTTCCTTCCTTCCTTCCTTTTTCTCTCTTTCTTTCTTTTTCTTTCCTTTTCTTTTTTTCTCTTTTTCGTTCCTTCTTTCTTTCCTAGCTCTGCGTTTATGGATCCCTCCTGATCACAGGGTCCACGAGGCTGCTTGGGGTGTCAGAGATTCAAACCAGGGCTGTTGGCAGCAAGGCAAGAACCCGACCTGCTGTACCATATTTGGGTCCCACAACCTCCCCTTTCTGAGCTGTTTCCTCCTGACAACAGCGACCACCACCAGCGCAGGTTCAAGGTCTGTGGGTGTAAGGGCAGGTCCAGTTTGGAGCAGGCTCTGGGGCCTGGGACCTCCCGTGTGGGGTAACTGAGGGTTGGAAGAGGAGAGTAGTAAGAAACAAAGACCAGATCCCCACCCCCCAGAAGTCCCAGAGAATTGCTCTTGGCCCCTGTGGGAGGAAGCTGGGTGTGGGCAGCGTGGGGGCAAAGGGGGTCCCTGTGGTCTCTCTCCTGGCCAGTGGTGGGGTATGAAGGGCCTTTGTGTGGCTTGGCTGGGTGGGCAGGCGCGGAATGCCATTATCTGCGGGAATGTGCCAGGAATGTGCCCACGAGGGCTGACCTTTCCCTGGGGTGGGGGCGGGTTGGCATGCCAGGTGGGGGCTGGGAGGGCAAGACCAGAGTGGGGAGTTGGGTGTGGTGGGGAGAGATGGGCTTCATCTGCATCTCTCCAGAGATGCCTGTGAACCCCCAGTTGTTTTTTTTTTTTAATTTGGGGAGTTTGGATCATACCCAGCTGTACTCAGGGTTTACTCCTGGCTCTGTGCTCAGATTTTACTGCTGACAATGTCATGTTGGGAGACCATGTCAGGTGCTGGGGATCAAACCTGGGTTGACTGTGTGCGGGCAAGCTCCCACTTGCTGTACTGAACCCCTAGTTCTACCTTCTTACTGCGCTGAGTGACCTGGCCCAGTGCTTTCTTCTTCTTTTTTTTTTCTTTCCTCTTTTGGTCACACCCAGCAATGCTCAGGGATTCCTCCTGGCTCTGCCCTCAGGAATTACTCCTGGCAGTACTTGTTTTTTGGAGGAAGGTTTGGGACATACCTAGCAGTGCTCAGGGATTCCTTCTGGCTCTGCACTCAGGAATTACTCTTGGTGGTGCTCAGGGGATTATAAAGGACGCTGGGGGAATCAAACCTGGGTCAGCTGCGTGCAAAGTAGATGCCCTCCCTGCTGTACTATTTCTCCAGGCCCAGTGGTTTTGTACCAAGGTTTTTGTTTCTGCAGAGAGGTGGGAAATGAAGATATTAGCCCAGGGGCTAACAAAGAGTAACTGCTGCCCCAGGCCCCTGTAGTATTAGCCAGATACTGAGCTGAGGCTGGTACCTTCTGCCAAGTTCAAGTCCCGGGACTGTAGGGATGGTACAGTGGGTAGAGCCTTTGCCTGGCTGGCATGCAGTTAATGCAGATTCAATCCCTGGCACCATACATAGTCCCCTAGCCTGTCAGGAGTAGGCCCTGAGTACCACCTGGGAAACAATGAAGCAGCAAGTGCTTGAGAAGTGTCTGTGGGGGGTCACTTGCCTTGCATGTGGCCAACCTGGCCTCCATCTCTGACATCACGTACCTTCACAAGCCCCACCAGGAGTGATCGCTGAGCCAGGTTTCACATCCATAACTCACTGCACAGTGCTCTTCTATCTGGCAGCTCTGTGGCTGGTGCTCACTCTCCCCCTTCCATAGGTAAGGAAACTGAGGCCCAGAGAAGTGAGGGGATATAGTGTATGTGGCCACACCCAAAGTACAGGTCTTACACATGGCTCTGTGCTCAAGGGTTACTCTAGCTATGGCTCCGGGGACCTTCTGTGGTGCCAGGGATCAAACCTGGGTCAGCTGTGTGCAGGGCCAGTTCCAGCCCACTGACCTATCTCTCCAGCCATGAATGAGATTTCTATAGTGATTGAAATAGAGCTGGGGTCCTTTGGGGTGGGTGCCCTGAAGCAAAGGTCTCTCAGCCTCAGTGTCTCTGCTTGCACTCTGCTTTCTTTTCATTTTGGTTTTGGGGCCACATCCAGCAGTGCTCGGGGATTACTCCTTTTCTGTGGTCAGGGATCACTCCTGGTGGTGCTCAGGGGCCCCTATGGAATGGCAGGGATTGAACCTGGGTCGACCGCGTGTAGGCAATCACCTTCCCTGCTGTGCACCTGGGCTCTGGGGAGAGGGACTGACCTGGAACAGACGCGGTACTCAGAGCAACTGGGGAGAGGAGGGGAGAAACTGGTGATAATGTTCTCATGCTTCTTCTTAGAGCCCCACACTCAGGAGGCCCACGGCGCTGAAGGAGACCCCAAGGTGAGCACTGATTGTGGACACAACGGTTCCTGCCCCATCGCTCTCCCGAGGTTCATTGCCCACACCCTGGTTTCTTTCTGGCAGGCAGCAGCAAGACCCCAGAGGAAGGACGAGTACCCCATAGAAGACAGTGCGGCACTCTGGGCAGAAGGGGGTGCTTGTACCCAGGCAGCGGTGAGAAGACAGGAGGGTCTCCCCGTTTTGTTTTGGGTTTTTTTTGGGGGGTCACACCTGGTGATGCTCAGAGGTTACACCTGGTTCTGCACTCAGGAATCATTCCTGGGGGTGCTCGGGGGACCACATGGGATGATGGAGATTGAACCCGCGTCGGCTTGTGCAAAGCAAACACCCTCCCTGCTGTACTACTGTTCCAGCCCCAACCCTCTCCCTTTCTTACACCCACCTGAACGCACCAAGCCCGGCCTCCTCCCCTCCTGTCGTGGCTCAGGTCCCTCCTCGTCTCTCCCGCAGGATCAGCGGCAGCTGCTCCATGCAGAACTGAAGTGGGTTCTGCAGCAGAAGGGGGAGCGGAAGCAGGACTGGAGGGTCCAGGGCGCTGCCAGAGACGTCATGGAGGCCAGGAGTCGAAGCGCCGAGGTGAGCACCCAACATGGGCTGCAGGGGGCGCTCGCGGGGCCTGGGGCAAAAAGAGACTTCCAGGTGTCTGCATCAGCTGACCATGGGGAAATAGAAGTAGTAAGAGGGCCATTTGTTGCCATGTGGGGGATTGCACCCAGTGGTATTTGGGGACCACTAGGGCGAGCTCCCTGCAGGAGGAACTGAGCCTGTTTTATGGGATCTATGAGGAATAGAAACTTAATATTGAAATCAGAGAGATGGCTCTACGGCTGAGCTCACGTGGGGCATGCAGGAGGCCCCAGGTTTGAACCCCAGCACTGCATGGTCCTCTGTGATCACCAGGAGTGACATCCAAACAAAAGAAAATTTATTTTATTTTATGTATTTTTGGCTTTTGGGATCATACCCGGTGATGCTCAGAGGTTACTCCTGGCTCTGCCCGCTGTACTATCCTGTACTATTGCTCCAACTCCAACAAAAGAAAATTTAATATTAAATTTTGTCTGTTGAAAAGAATTAAGTATGTGAGCTGGAGAGACAGTACAGCAAATAGGGCATTTGCCTTGTTTGTGATCAACTTGAGTTCAACCCTTGTCACCCCATATAGTCCCCTGAGCCCTGATGGAGTGACCCCTGACAGCAGTGCCCCCGGAGTAAGTCCTGAGCACTGCTGGGTGTGGCCCAACAACAGCAACCAAAGAATTAAGCAGGGAAGAGCCTTAGTATAGCATTTACCTTACACGTGGCTGGCCCAGGTTGTATCTCTGGCACCACACATGGTCCCCCAAGCCCCACCGGGAGTAATTTCTGAGTGCAGGGCCCTGAGCACTGCCAGGTGTGGCCCCTAAGAATACCCCTTCAAAAAAAAATGAACTAAGTATATGCTTTGCATGAGATCCTGGATTTGATCTATGGCAACCATCACCCCATTTCTTTTTTTTTGGGGGGGGCACCTGGCACTGATCTGGGGCTTCCCCTGGCTCTGAGCTTGGGGGAGTCACTCCTAGCAAGGCTTAAGAGAACGCGTGCTGCTGGGAATTGAACTGGGGTGACACCACCGAAGGGAGTGCTTTATCCCCTATATTGTCTCCCCAGCACTCCCACCCCTGCAGGTTCTTTATGTTTATTGTGTTTAGCAATGCTCGGGACTTATTCCTGGCTCTGTGCTTAAGAATCACTCCTGGCAGTGTCCAGGGGACCATCTGGGGTGTCTGGGGAATGGGATCGAATACCCAAGGCAAGTGTTCTCCCCTCTGTACTGTTGTTCAGGCCCCATGCTGATTCTTTTAACATAAACTTTCCCTAGCACAAAGGCAAAGCAACTAAGTCCTATGGAGCATAATGGGGTTATATCAATAAAGAGATAAGGAGACAGAGCCAGAGTACAGCAGGAGGGCATTTGCCTTGTAAGCAGCCAACCTGGGTTCGATCTCTGGCATCCCATATGGGGCCCTCTCCTCAGGAGAGATCCTCTGAGTACAGAGCCAGGGTAAAGCCTTGAGCACCGCAGGGTGTGGCCCCCAAACCAAAATACAAGCAAACAAACAAAAAGAGATAAGGGGGCAGAAGAGCTTATACAGGGTTTAAGACGCTTTGTCTTTTTTTTTTTTAATTAATTTTTTTTGTGTGTTATTTTAAACTACAGTGATTCTGAACTGGATTGATCATTTCTTTCCATCCTTGCCATTATTTCAATTTGTACTTTTTAAAAAAAATTTTTACTAGTGAAATACCATGAGGTACAGTTGTAGACTTACAAATTTTTGTGCTTGGGTTTCAAGTTATACAATGATCCAGTACCCATCCCTCCACCAGTGCCCATTCTCCATCATTTACATATTTTTAAAAATTTTTGTTAGTAGAAACACCATGAGGTACAGTTGTAGATTTACAAATTTTTGTGCTTGGGTTTCAATTGTACAACGATCAAACACCCATCCCTCCACCAGTGCCCATTTTCCACCACCACGGGTCCCAGTATTCCTCCCACCCCCCATCCCCTCATCCTACCCTGCCTGTGGCAGGGTATTTCCTTTTGTTCTCTCTCTCCTTTTGGGTGTTGTGGTTTGCAAAAGAGGCATTGAGGGGCAATCATGTTTGGTAAGCTTTGTCTTATACATGGTCAACCCCAGTTCAATCCCTGGCACTCCTTATGGTCCCCTGAGTACCTTCAGGAGTGATTTCCCAGCACCAGGTCAAGAATGATCCCTGAGCACTGTTGGGTGTGGCCCAAATACAAAAACAAAAAATAGAGATTAGAAGACAAGAAGTGGACTTGGAGAGATTACACAGAGAAAAACACTTGCCTTGTTTTTATTTCATTTTTTTTGGAACCACACCCTGCTAATGCTAAAGACTTACTCCTGGTTCTACACTCAGGGATCACTCCTGGCACTGATTAAGGGACCCTGTAGGGTTCTGAGATCAAACCCAGGTCAGTTTTGTGCAAGGGACTTATTCCTGGCTCTGTGCTTAGGAATCACTCCTGGCAGTGCCCAGGGGACAATCTGGGATGCCTGTGGAATAGGATTGACTCCCTACCCTACCCACTATACTAACTCTTCAACCCCCAAAAACAAATCTTTAAGAAGGTGAATTTTGGACCCATGAGTTCACATCTCAAAGCTACCACTTTATCTTTCGCTTGTTTTGGGGCCACACCTGGCAGTGCTCAGGGCTTACTACTGGCTTTGTACTCAGGGATCACTCCTGGTGGAGCTCCAAGAACTATATGGGGAGCTGGACGTCAAGTCCTGTTAGTTGTATACAAAACGATCCAGCAGTGCACCAGCCCTACCTTTTTTTTTTAATGGGGGGCACACTTGGCAGTGGTCAGGGGTTACTCCTGACTGCAGTCAGGAATTAGTCCTGATGAGCTTAGGGGACCATATAGGATGCTAGGGATTGAACCCAGATTGGCTGCATGCAAGGCAAATGCCCTCCTTGCTGTGCTACTTCTCCACCTCCTCCCCCCAGCCCTACCTTTTTAGCTGCACAGTCCTTGGTAGGTACCTTCATTTTTTCCATCAATGGAATGGGGCAATATGTCCTACCTTGCTGTTCCCCAGATGCTGAGCACTCACAGGGAAGCCAGCAACACTTCATGGCTATCTAGGAACCTTCTAGAAAGTTTGCCACAGGTGCTCCTGTAGACAGAGTGCCAGCCTGGGCCTTGTCTGCCACATGCCAAGTCTAGAGTGGATCTGCTTTTACAGGAGCCAGAGGGGCTAAGGGTGGGAGATGCCAGGGCTGTGGAGGGTACCGTCTATGTGAATTTTGGGTTCTGGCATCTACAACCGGGGGCGAGTCCCATCCAGGTCACTTTATTGTGTGGCCGTGGACAAGTCACTTCTCCTTTTCTTTTTTTATTGAATTTCAGGGCACTCTAGCAGTGCTCAGGATTTACTCCTAGCTCTGTGTTTAGGAATTACTCCTGGCAGGGGGACCATACGGGGTGACAGAGACTACACGCTATACTATCTGGCCCAAGTTATTATTTTACTTCTTTGGACCTCAGTGTTGTCCTCCGGGCCTGTTATGAAACACAATGCTGCTCAGAAAGCGCTCAGTTCGGGGCTCAAGGGGAGTGGGGTGCTACTGCTGCCCCCTTCTCGCCCCTCCTGCCACACTCTGTTCATTGGCATCACCGCCAAGGGCTGTCATGCCCAGACCCACTCTGAGCCCTGGGATTCTAGTCTTCGTCGTTTCCATGCCCTGCCCGGGACAGTGTCCACTCCCAGTCCTGGCAGCACTCTGGGCTCAGTTCACAAGCAGACACTCCTGGTTTTCAGACACCCCAGTGACCCATTTTTTTGTGTGTGTGTTTTGGGGCCATACCGGGTGGTACTCAGGGCTTACTCCTGACTATGCTCAAGGATCACTCCTGGCAGGGCTTGGGGAACCCTTTGGAGTATTTGGGATTGAAGCTGGGCTGGCCACGTGCAAGAATAATGCCCTCCCCATTGTACTAGCGCTCCAGCCCCTGCGACCCAACATTCTCAGAAGGTAGGAGGCAGTTCTGTCCTTCAGCAGAGGGGGGGTCTCAGAGGGTGGGGGGAGAATTCACAGCGTGCAGCTGGACAAAAGCCAGTCAGTTCCATTACAGTAAATACCAGGAATACCACTTCTCCTTCCCCACGCACCCCTTACACTGGATTCCCTTACCGTGGATGTTATGTAGGCCTTGGGGTCAAGTTCACAAAAGAGTACAGTCTTGCAGGCATTCAGGCTATTGCACTCCTACCCCTCCAATCTTTTCCCAGAAATTCCTTCCAGCACCCTGTGGGTTTTTATAAGATCCCCTCCCACACCTCTATTCTGCCCTTTTCAGGGAGGGTCCACGCTTGGTTGTGCTCAGTTGCTCATTCCTAGTATGGGTCAGGGGACCCTCAGCGGTGTTAGGGATCAAATCTGGGTTTCGTGTGTGCAAGGCAAATGCGTTCCCGGCTGTACCATCTCTTGGGTTTTAGTTTCTTTTATTTCTATTTTGGGGGCTTGGTTATGTGCTCAGCAGTGACCCCTGGCGGTGATCGGGGTGCCAGATATGTGGTGTGCCAGAGATCTAGCTTCGCTAGGCTGTGTGCAAGACTATCGCTCAGGACCATAAACCTCGCCTTTAGGCTATGGGATCCCGCCCCCTTCTCTCCCCTCCGACTGCCTTCCCCCTGCTGGAGGCACATCTTGGCACACGCACTTGGTTGTGGGGCTCGCTCATTTCTTTTTGTGGCCACACTCGGCGGTGCTCAAGGTTTTATTCCCGGCTCTGCGCTCAAGGATGGAGGTGATGGAAGACCCTATGGGATGCTGGGGATCGAACCAGGGTCAGGCGCATGCAAGGCAAGCGCTCTGTCCCCTGTACTATCTAACCAGTCCTGGGGTTCGGTCATTTTAATTGTGGTTCTCCTTGGAGGCCACACTTGTGGAGCTTTGGAAGCTTTTTATACCTGATCTGCCCTCCTTGTTCCTGGTCTGTGGGCTCGAAACCCGAGGGTTCTCAGATTCAGGCAAAGATGCTTACCCCCGCCCCCTACGTGACCCGCCCCTGTTAGCCCCGCCCCTCCTCCTCCTTAGAGCACGGCCTCTCCTCGTAACTGCAGCTCCGCCCCTGATAAACTACCCCGCCCCTGACTATAGCCCCGCCCCTAGCAGTAAACCCCGCCCCTAACGACAGTCCCCGCCCCCTGAGAGTACGGCCCCTCCTGACGACAGTCCCCGCCCCCAGCAGGAGGCCCCGCCCCCGACTGCACTGCATCTAGCCCAGTAATTACGGCCCCGCCCCCCCGGCAGCAGGCCCCGCCCTCTACAGCAAGGCTCCGCCCCTTACACTACGGTCCTTCCCCTTGACCGCACGGACCCACCTTGTCATTCCTCCTCCCACCTTTCAGTCCAAAGTCAGGGGATCGCCCGCCCTCCCCCTTCACCCCCCTCCCCCCGACCCCGTGCCTCCTCTGCGAAGGCCTCCGGGTCCCGCTGAACCGTTGAACCGCGTGCTCAGAAGGGAGATGCCGGAGTGCGTGGGTCCTGGGGCAGAAGCCCAGTGGACCCGTTTTGAGCCGCTTTTAAGCGGGATGGTGACCTGGGGCGAAGTTCTGCTCGAGCACCGCCAGGCGAACCCTCGCCTCTCTCGGCAGGAGCTGAGGCGGACGGAGTTGGTGGAGATCATCGTAGAGACGGAGGCGCACACCGGGGTCAGCGGCATCAACGTAGCGGGCGGCGGCAAGGAGGGAATCTTCGTCCGCGAGCTGCGCGAGGACTCGCCCGCGGCCAGGAGCCTCAGTCTGCAGGAAGGTGGGCGAGGCTGCGGGGCGCGGGGCACCCACCGGGAGGCTGGGCTGAAGGTCTGGGAGAGTTTGTGCTTTCTTAGACCAGGCTCTAGAGCTTCATTTTCAGGGTTAGAATCCTAAATCTGTGCTTAAGATCATTCTGTGCCTCGGTTTTCTCATCTCCGAAATGGGAATAATGTTAATATTTAGCTTAACCGGCTTATTATGTGGATTAAAATGAGCCAATATTTGAAAAACACATAGCTGAGACATACGGTAAATGTAAATGCTATTTTTGTTAGCTGGAGTTAACATGGAGAGGTGGGGAGTGGACCGAGACTGATGTGATTTATTGTTGCAACACCTATTAAGCGTCTTGGACTTCCAGACGTTATTCAGGATACTTGGGCTTGAGTAATGGACCAAACAGACATTATACACTATGGAACCTGGATATTTTGCAGTGGAAAGGGGAATATCTTAGTCTTGGGGATGTAGCTCAGTCTTACAGTAGTTGCCTTACAAAAACGGGGGTTCAATCCAAGGCACTACAGAAAAATAAAAGGTAAAATACATAGAAAATTAGAAAACATGGGCTATAGGTACCAGGAGGGAAGCTGTTTTTTCCTTAGTTTTTGTGCTTTGGGGGCCATGCCCAGCGGCACTCAGGAGTTACTCCTGGCTTTGCACTCAGGAATTACTCCTGGTGTGGCTTTGGGGACCATATGGGGTGCCAAGATCAAACCTGGGTAAGTCTCATGCAAGGCAGGCGCCAATCTGTTGTACCATCGCTCCAGCCCCAAGAAGCAGCACCTCCTCCTTCATCATCATCATCATCATCATTATTTTGGGGCCACACCTGCTGATGTTCAGAGGTTATTCCTGGCTCTGCACTCAGGAATTACTCTTGGCGGTGCTTGGGGGACCATATGGGATGCCAGGATCGAACCCTGGTCGACTGCATGCAAGGCAAATGTCCTACCCACTGTACTATTGTTCCGGTCCCAGGAAACCAGAGCAGTAGTGTGTTGTCTTGTTGGTGGGGGCCATTCTCAAGTTGCGGGGTCTTCCAGGATTTCATGTTAGAGTTGCTCCCAGTTGTGCTTTGGGGACCATGTGGTGCTGGTGATAGAACCCAGGCACCAGCATGCATGTCTCAAAACAAAACCAAACAAGTTGTGTCCACGAATCCTTTTTTAAAATTTTTTTTGTGGGGTAAGGGTTGGGACCACACCCACTCAGAGGCTATTTCTGACTCTGTGCTCAGGAGTGTCCCCTGGCATTGTTCAGAGTAAATCATATATGGTGTCAGGGATAGAATTGGGGTCAGATGTATGCAAGACAACTGTAAGTTCCATAATATCTCTCTGGCCCTCGCCCGTTTTTGGTCCACACCTGATGATGGTTGGGGGCTACATCTGTGCTTGGGGGTCACCCCTCCAGGGTCTGGTGCCCTGAGCTCCCTGAATGCAAAACATGTGCTGGTTCCACTGACCCCTGATCAGTCCAGGGATTTTTTTTTTCTTTCTGCGTTATACTCAGCGATGCACAGGGGTTACTCCTAGCTCATGCACTCAGGAATTACTTCTGGCTGTGCTCAGGGGACCCTATGGAATGCTGGGAATCAAATCCAGGTCGGCCGCGTGCAAAGCAAGCACCCTACCCGCTATTACTCCAGCCCCAGTCCAGGGATTCTTAACCTGAGGATGGAGTTGATGGTGCCGTGAAGTGGGAAACACCGGACTGAGCTTATTTAAAGACCAGAAATTCTGTTGGGATATGAAAAATGAGAGGTTGGACAGAAAGGTAGAGAAAGAGAGTAGTTGGATATATGAACTTAGGATAAAAGGGGAGTGGGCTGGGTTAGAGATGGACCCCTGGGAGTCATCAGCAGCAGATTTATAATATATATGTGGAGGCACTCTTGGTGGTGCTCAGGGAGCACTCCTAGTGATCTCGGATAACTATGTAGGGCCTGGGAATTGAACACCAATCAGCTGCTTGCAAGGCAAACACCTTATACCTCTGTACTCTCTCTGGCCCCAGAGTTTTTGGTTTTAAATAATCCTGAATTTGGACCTGCTTTCCCCAAGTGGCTGGTGTAGCATGTACATGGAGACAAGGACAGGTCTAAGACCTGAGGTGTGGAGCTTCATGTATCCAGGGAGTTGGCAAAAGCCCATCTGGGGAGACCGAGGAGAACCCTGAGGGGAGTGTCCAGAATGGGAGGGCATGAAGGTGAATCAGGGGAGTCACAAAAGTGGCTTGACTCAAACAGATGAAGCTTGGGACTTCCTTGGCAGCAGGTGGAGAACGAACTAAATCGCCACAGAACCAGGTGTGGGAGTATGTCGGTGAACTTGTTCATTAGGGGGCTACCCTCTGTGGTATTGGTGTTCAGGGACCATGGAGTGCTGTTCTCTTTTCTGTAAGCTAGGGTACACACACACACACACACACACACACACACAACTTGCCTTCCAGCATGGCTCAAATTTACTAGCTCTCCTGCCTTGGGTGGAAACTTCTGGTAGGTTTCTTTCACCTCTATTCACTCAGTAAAGGAAGCCAAGTCAGCATCTGAAAGGTGGGGATGGGGGCTGGAGAGATAGTATAGCAGCAGATAGGGCGCTCACCTTGCATGATGCTAACTCGGGTTCAATTCCCAGCATCCCATATGCCAGCGCTCTCCCCCCTCCAAAAAAAAAAAAAAAAAAGGAACGGAAAAGAAAAACCAAAAAACGAAAAAAAATCTGAAAGGTGGTGAGTAAAAGGGCGACAGGCGTGGCCTGAGTGGGCGTGGCCAACACAGGTGGGGGCAGGCTAAGGATATGGGGCGGGGCTTCCCTCAGTAAGGGCGGGTCTTGGCGCCAGCTTCCTGTTCTTTGGACCATGACTTGGGGCGGGGCCTCCTTGATAGGCAGCAGAGTGGGCGGAGCCAGGCCTGGGAGAGGTGCTCACACCCTGCCACTGCACCTTGTCCGGCAGGGGACCAGCTGCTGAGCGCTCGTGTGTTCTTCGACAACTTCAAATATGAGGATGCGCTCCGCCTGCTACAATGCGCCGAGCCGTACAAGGTCTCCTTCTGCCTAAAGCGCACTGTGCCCACCGGGGACCTGGCACTGCGGCCTGGGACAGTGGCTGGCTACGAGATCAAAGGCCCGCGGGCCAAGGTGGCCAAGCTGGTACGCGTGCTTAGCTCGGCCCCGGCGTTGGACTGCCCCAGCGACTCGGGATCCGCGCCGTGAGCCACGTTTGCTGAGCCCGTGGCCAGCCGTTGCCCCCTGTCTTGTCACTAACCCGAAGCTAATCCTGCTCTTTACCTCCTATTCTCTGCCCGCTCCTAAGTTCCTGCCTGGGGAGGGGCACCCACCCACGCCAGTGCAGGGAGTGCAGCCTCTCTGGGGAGACACTCCCCCACATCTGGTCCTCCACTTCTGATTCACTGTGAGAGCCCACATGACCACCTTCACTTCCTCGGGCAATAATGGTGACATGAGAGGCAGGAGTTCTGGGGACAAGATGCCCCCTACCGGGTGGGCCCCCACTCCCAGTCTGTTCTTGGCCTCTCACTGGCCCACCGCCTCCCGCCTCTCTCCTCTCTCCCCAGAACATCCAGAGTCTGTCCCGTGTGAAGAAGAAGAAGATGATGGTGCCGGGGGCCCTGGCGGCCTCTGCCGACCTGGCGCCTGTTGATGTCGAATTCTCCTTTCCCAAGTTCTCCCGCCTGCGCCGGGGCCTCAGAGCCGAGGCGGCCAAGGGTCCACTCCCTGCTGCCCCTGCTCGCCGGCGCATTCAGCTGCCTCGGCTGCGGGTCCGAGAAGTGGCTGAGGAACCCCATGTGGCCAGGCTGGCAGCCGCTGCTCCCCCACCCAGGAAGGCCAAAGCAGAGGCAGAAGTGGCTGCAGGGGCCCCGTTCACAGCCCCGAAGGTGGAGCTGGTGGCTCCTCGGCTGCCAGGGGCTGAGGTGGGCATCCCTGCCCCCAAGGGAGAGGTGGCCCCAGTCACGGAGGCAGCCCCTAGCTTTTCCCTCCACCTGCCAAGCCTTGGGTTAGGGGCCCCATCTGTAGCAGTGGTGGAACCACCAGCTGGAGGGATCCAGGTCCCCCAAGTAGAGTTGCCCACCTTGCCCTCTTTACCCGCTCTGCCCACTCTTCCCTGCCTGGAGACCCGCGAAGGGGCAGCAGCGGTGACAGTGCCTGTCCTGGATGTGGCCGCACCCGCAGTGGGTGTGGACCTGGCCTTGCCGGGGGCAGAGGTGGGGGCTCTAGGAGAAGTGCCGGAGGTGGCCATGAAGATGCCTCGCCTCAGTTTCCCCCGCTTTGGAGCTCGAGCAAAGGAAGCAGCCGAGGCCAAGGCAGCCAAGGGCAGTCCTGAAACCAGGGTGAAGGGACCCCGACTCCGAATGCCCACTTTCGGGTTCTCTCTCCTGGAGTCCCGGCCCACTGCCCCTGAAGTGGAGACCAAGCTGAAGCTGCCCACCCTCAAGATGCCCTCCTTCGGCATTGGGGCCTCAGTGCCTGACGTCAAGGCACCCAGGGGTCCTGAAGTGAAGCTCCCCAAGGCCCCTGACATCAAACTCCCGAAAGTGCCCGAGGCCACCCTCCCAGAGGTGCATCTCCCGGAACTCCAGCTCCCCAAGGCTCCAGAGATGAAGCTCCCGAAGGCGCCTGAGATGGCCGTGCCCGACATGCAGCTCCCAGACCTACAGCTGCCGAAAGTTTCAGAAATGAAGCTCCCAAAGGTGCCTGAGATGGCCGTGCCCGACATGCAGCTCCCAGACCTACAGCTGCCGAAAGTTTCAGAAATGAAGCTCCCGAAGGTGCCTGAGATGGCCGTGCCCGACATGCAGCTCCCAGAATTACAGCTGCCAAAAGTCTCGGAAATGAAACTCCCAAAGGTGCCCGAGATGGCCGTGCCCGACATGCAGCTCCCGGACTTGCAGCTGCCAAAGGTTTCAGAAATGAAGCTTCCGAAGGTGCCCGAGATGGCTGTGCCCGACATGCAGCTCCCAGAACTGCAGCTTCCCAAAGTCTCTGAGCTGAGACTCCCCGAGATGAAACTCCCAAAGGTGCCTGACATGGCTGTGCCGGACGTGCACCTCCCGGAGCTGCAGCTGCCTCGAGTTTCAGAGATGAAGCTCCCGAAGATGCCCGAGGTGGCAGTGCCGGACATGCAGCTCCCTGAGCTGCAGCTGCCGCGGGTTTCAGAGATGAAGCTCCCGAAGATGCCTGAGGTGGCCGTGCCGGCCATGCACCTCCCCGAGCTGCAGCTGCCGCGAGTTTCGGAGATGAAGCTCCCGAAGATGCCTGAGGTAGCCGTTCCGGATGTGCACCTACCCGAGCTGCAGCTCCCTAAAGTCTCTGAGTTGAAAGTGCCCGACATGAAGCTCCCAGAGATAAAAGTCCCGAAGGTGCCAGACGTGGCGGTGCCCGAGATGCACCTCCCGGAGATGCGGTTGCCAGAAGTGCAGGTGTCCAAAGTGCCGGAAGTTCACCTGCCCGTGGCCCCCGAGGTGCAAATTAAAGCAGCTGGGGTCCAGCAGGCAGAGGGCAAGGAATTTGGCTTCAAGATGCCCAAAATGACGATGCCCAAGCTGGGGAGGGCAAAGTCGCCTCCTCGAGGCAAGCCGGGAGAGGCAGGGACTGAGGTGTCGGGGAAGTTGGTGACCCTCCCCTGTCTGCAGCCCGCAGTGGGCATCGAGGCACGAGGGGAAGGTCCATCTCTCACGTTACCCTCTGTGGAGATCGACCTGCCAGGTGCCCTTGGCCTGGAGGGCCAGGTCCAAGCAGCAGGACTGGGCAAGGTGGAGCGGGCAGAGGGCGCTGGTGTGGCAGCAGGAGCGGGTGTGGCAGAGGTGACCGGGGAAGGAGGCACCTTCCGGATTCCTGCGGTTGAGCTTGTCACTCCTCAGTTGCCTACGCTCGAGGCTGAAGAAGGGGCGCTGGAGGCAGCAGAGGTGAAGGTGAAGCCCGCCTCCAAGTTCTCGCTGCCCAAGTTTGGACTCGTGGGGCCGAAGATGACCAAGGCCGAGACTGAGGGGATCAGGAGGGCTTCGAAGTTGAAGGGGTCCAAGTTCACCATCTCCCTGCCCAAGGCTCGGCTGGGGACAGAGGCGGAGGCCAAAGGGGCCGGGGAGGTGGGCCTGCTGCGGGCCCTCGATCTCTCCCTGCCCCGCGTGGGCCTGGATGCCCACCTGCCCACGGGCAAGGCAGAGGTCGCGGGCGCCGACGTCAAGCTGAAGGGGCCCAGGTTTACACTGCCCAAGTTTGGAGGCCGGGGCCGTGAGGCTGAGGTGGGGGAGCTTGAGACTGGGGTGGCCGAGTTGGAGGGCAGGGGCCGGGCATGGGAGGGGAAGGTGAAGATGCCCAAGCTGAAGATGCCCACCTTTGGGCTGGTGCGAGGGAAAGAAGCAGAAATTCTGGGGGTCCGTGTCAGCCCTGGGGCTAAGCCAGAATCCCCCGAGATGGCAGCGGCAGTGCTTAAGTTCCCTGATGTGGAGCTGGTGACACTAGGAGTTCAGGAGGAAGGGAAGGCAGAAGGGGGGGTGGCTGTCAGTGGGAAACAGCTCTCAGGCCACACCGTGCAGGTGACTACGGTGAGGCCGCCGGGCTCCGAGGGCCAGGATGGAGGGATCAAGATGCCCCCACTGGGCATCTCCCTGCCCCAGGTAGAGCTGACGGGCTTCGGAGAGATGGGACTGGGCACCATCCAGGGCCAGCAGATCAGTGGTGCTGCCCCTTCAGCAGATGGCACGGCCGGTCACAGGGTCCAGGCGGCCGTGTCTTTGCCCCAAGCGCAGGTGTCGGCGGGTGAGCTGCTGGTGGGTGAGGGCGTCTTCACGATGCCCACAGTGACACTGCCCCAGCTCGAGCTGGATGTGGGCCTGAGGAGCCGAGAGGAGCAGATGGGTGAGGCTGCCCCCGCCAAGGGTGGAACGAGGCAGATGCCCACGTCGGGGCCAGGGGCAGAAGAGGCCACGGACAGGCCTCCAGCCACCGAGCGCACCTTCCACCTCTCGCTGCCCGACGTGGAGCTCTCGCCACCTGGCGTGGGCAGCCATGCCGAGTACCAGGTCGCAGAGAGCGAGGGGGAGGCTGGGCCCAGACTCAGGGTGAGGCTGCCGCGGTTTGGCCTGGCCCGGGCCCGGGACGGGGCTGAGGAGGGCGAGAAGGCCAAGAGCCCAAGGCTCCGGCTACCCCGTGTAGGCTTCAGCCCCGGCGAGGCCTCCCCGCGGGACCGGGAAGGGGACGGCTCCCCCAGTCCTGAGGAGGAGGAAGAGGGTGTTGGTGAAGGGGCATCTGGGCGCCGAGGCCGGGTCCGGGTCCGCCTGCCTCGGGTGGGCTTGGCCTCCCCGTCCAAGTCCCCTGGCGGGGAGAAGTCCCCCAAGTTCCGCTTCCCTCGGGTGTCGCTGAGCCCCAAGGCCCGGAGCAGGAGTGGGGATAAGGATGAAGGTGGCTTCCGGGTCAGGCTGCCCAGTGTGGGCTTCTCAGAGTCAGGGGCTCCGGGGCCCGCAAGGGTGGAGGGGGCTCAGGCAGTGGTTATCTGAGGTCCTTAGGTCCCTGTCCACAGGGTAGCTCCCCTCTACCTTCCCCCCTTCCCCTCACCTCCCGTTGTTTTGTGTGTGAGGTCATTAGCACTAATCCTCGAGGGCAGCGAGGCCTGCTGGGGCTGGGGCTGGGGGCCAGGGCGGGAGCTCAGTGTCTTGCCCAGGTGGCGTGTGAATAAAATAACCCAGAGACATGGCCTGTGTGTGTCTGCTCTCTTCTTGATGTGTGTGTGTGTGTGTGTGGGGGGGGGGGGGACACTATGAGACACCCCACTCTCGGAGAGTCTGGGAGGCCCAGATTAAGGGGGCTTCAGAATTCCCGGGATGACCCCCCTCCACAGAGGTCCCTCCACAGCTGTGCCTGCCTGTCTGGGGGAGCCCCTCCTTTCAGGAGGCCGGGGTGGGACCCCAAGGAAGTGGAACCTCTGCAACCCGCCTGCCCCCTGCTGGCCGCGTTTCCAGAACCAGGAGTGCGTCTGTCCATGTTTAGGGCCCAGCTGTGCGGTTTGCCTCTTTCCTGTCTGACTGGTTTGACTTCCCTGTCCACCCGAGCCCCAGCCCTCTTGGGGATCAGGGGCTCAGGACCGGACACCTAGCTGCCTCTGAACACTGTCAGTGCTGGGAATCAGGGGCAGCTATCCCCCAGCCCCAGCAACCTGAACCCCTCTGGATCTAAACCCGCTTACCTCAGCAGCCCCGCTCCAGGCCTCCAGACACTTCCTCATGTCCCTATGGGTGGACGTGGGGGGGGGTAGCACCCCTGAGGGGTCATCGCGCCCTGTTCCTCCACTTCTCCCTTCAACCTGCTCCCTCATTCAGCTTGCTACCTGCTTCCTTCCTGTAACCCTTTGAGGACAGCAGTTACCTGACCACCTCCACATCCCCCACCACGGGGTTTTCTCACCACAAATCTCTGCATGATCAGGGGGAGGCCCCCTCCTCAGTGCCCACCTGACACTCACACTCACAACTTCCTCACACTCCCTGGACCCCTTTGTCCCCACCCTGCCCTGGACCCTGTCACTGCTTCCCCTCAGACCCACACCTGCCCTCTTCTCTCCTGTTCCCTTCTTGGGACCCAGCTGGGTGAGGGGCAGGGGGTTGCAGGGCTGACTTGGGGGGTTCGTGTCTGTGGCCTGAGGCACTTTCCAGCCTTCTCTGTGTCTTTCCTCAGGATTGTAGAAGATTTCATGTGTTTCCACATCAGAACTCCCAACCAGTTAGACCCTAATAAGAACTAACCCCCCCAAACTGCCCCCACTCCATGTCCTGATCCCGGGCCGTTGCTCAGGATGACTCCTTCCTTCCCCCAACCTGTCAGTCCTGGAACCAGTCTGGCCTCATGAGCCTCCACATCTGCCCCAGGGAGCCAGGCACCTCACCTGCTCCCATCTCCCACCTCACACGGCAGCTGTGTGACCCTCACACCTCCCCTAGCCCTGAGCCCTCAAGTATTTCCCAGTGCATAAGTCCAGTCTCCTGAGGTGGCACTGCAGGTCCATCCTGGCCCTGTATTGGCGACCCTCCCACCCCCCATGGTACACACACACTGGGCAGGTTTTACCTGAACGCCGAGACACACACACACACACACACACACACACCACACAGACACAGACACACACACACTGATACACAGACATACAGAGACACAGAAAAACACATAGAGACATATAGAGACAGAATCATACAGAAACACAGAGATACAGTGACACACAGACATACAGAGACACAGACAGATACATACACACAAACTGATACACAGACATACAGAGACACAGAAAAACACAGAGAGATATATAGAGACAGAATCATACGGAGACAGAAATATATACAATGACACACAGACATACAGAGACAGATACACACACAGAGAATATATAGGCACATAGATACACACACACACACACACACACACACACACACACACACACACTCTTACTCCTGACCCCCAAGTCCCATACCCTACTCTCCTCTCTGTGGATGCCTCAGCAGCCTACGATCCCCCATGAGACAGAGGGCCCCCTGGGTGACCTTTCACCGGTCTCAGTCCTCCAAGGTTCTACCGGGATGGGGGAGGGGCGCCACCTGCCACCCCACCCCCGTTCCAGCCAGGGGCTCAGGTCTCCAACAACAGAACCAGGGCTCACTCAGCAACGCTGGAACCCACTGGAGAGGGCCTGGGCCCCCTCGTCCCAAGCCAGGAGGGCCTCGGGGGAGGGGTACTGCCCCTGGCAGATTCACTGTGTGGCCCAGGGGTTTAGGGGGTGCCAGGGAGGTGGGGGCCAAACTCGAGAGAGGAGGCACGACTAGGGCTCTCTTCCCCCCACTGGGGGTTCATCGCGGCCGGCGGAAGGCGGGGAGGGCGCGGAAGCAGGGTCCAAGGAACTGCGGTGGCGGCCGGACCTCGTCGGGTGGGAACCGGGGCGTGATGGCCACCCTCCAGTCGGAGACTGACTGCTACGACATCATCGAAGTGCTGGGCAAGGGCACGTTTGGGGAGGTGGCCAAGGGCTGGCGGCGGAGCACAGGCGAGATGGTGGCCATCAAGATCCTCAAGAACGATGCTTACCGCAACCGCATCATCAAGAACGAGCTGAAGCTTCTGCGCTGCATGCGGGGCCTGGACCCCGACGAGGCCCACGTCATCCGCTTCCTCGAGTTCTTCCACGATGCCCTCAAGTTCTACCTGGTCTTCGAGCTGCTCGAGCAAAACCTCTTCGAGTTTCAGAAGGAGAACAACTTTGCGCCTCTCCCCGCCCGCCACATCCGCACAGTCACGCTGCAGGTGCTCCGGGCCCTGGCCCGCCTCAAGGAGCTGGCCATCATCCACGCCGACCTCAAGCCCGAGAACATCATGCTGGTGGACCAGACGCGCTGCCCTTTCAGAGTCAAGGTAAGGGTGGCTGCCCCGTCCCTAGAGTCCCTGCCTCTCTCTCAGTCCTCTCTCGGCTCCTGTGTCCCAGCTCTGACCTTACGTTGTTGTTGTTGTTGTTGTTGTTGTTGTTGTTGTTGTGGTTGTCTTTGAGGGGGGACCGCACCCTTAGGCATTTAGAGACCACTCCCAGCTGGGCTCAGGGGACCATACAGGGTGCCAAGATCAAACCCAGGTCTGTCGTGTGCTAGGCAAGCGCCTTCCCCGTTGTACTATCTCTGACTCCTGCTGTCAGATCGTATCTAGAGGGGAGAGAGGTCAAGAAGGGCCCCAGAATCTGTTGATCTGTGCCACAGGCAAAATGGCGGCAGTGTTGGGGTCAGACAGGATAAGTGGGTGAGGTGCTTAACCTGAATGTGGCCAACGTGGATTTGATTCCCAGCACCCCATATGGTTCCCCGAGTCCTGACAGGAAGGATCCCTGAGTGCAGAGCTAGGAGTCAGCCCTGAATACCACCAGGTGTGGCCCACAAAAAGACAGCAGTGTGTCACTCGTCACTGAGTTCACCGGCAGACATGGCTGGACACCTGTCCTGGACTGGACCTTGAGCTGAGCACACAGAGGCACCTCCCTGGGCTCCGCTACCCTCTGAGATCTGAGGGTAGGGCCACTGTGGTCCACTCTGGGCTGGGTCCATGACGTCTCCCAGTATCATGCCATCGTGGGCTCAATGCTAAGTCACTGTGGGAGATCCAGAGAAATACAGAGAACAGATAATTCTGCCCTAGGAGATGGAAGGACGGAGGCTCCAGGGAGGAGAGACTCCCACAAACACAGCCTTGGCACCCCAACCTTGAGTGTGTGTGTGTGTGTGTGTGTGTGTGTGTGTATGAGAGTGTGTGTGAGGAATGAATGAGTGAAGCCCACAAACGTGGGCAGGTGCTTGGGGTCACATGGTCTGAGGTCCACTCCATATTCAGTGACCAGATGAATTATATCACATCATCCCATCTTGAACAGGTGGTGAGAGTAAGGTGCCGGTCTTGCAGGCAGCCACCCTGGGTTTTATCCCCAGCACCAGATAGGGTATCCCAGCAGAGCCAGAGTGATTTCTGAGCACAGAGCCCAGAGTAAGCCCTGAGCACTGCCTGGTGTGGTCCCAAAAGGAGAGAAACAAAACAAAATAGTAAAACAGGGCTGGAGAGGTAGTACAGTGGGTAGGGCACTTACCTTACATGCACCCAACCTGTGTTTGATTCCTGGCTCTCCTGAGCCCACCAGGAGTGATTCTTGAGTGCAGGGCCAGGAGTAACCCTTGAGCACTGCTGGGGATGGCCCAAAAACCAACCAACCACACAAAAACCCAGAAAACCAAAAGAAAAATAAGAAAGCAGGTCCAGGCAGAGAGGGAGATGCCGAGGGGTGGAGCAGAGTCAAGAGAAGAGGGTGATAGCAGAGTGGGTAGAACGTTTGCCTTGCACGTGGCCGACCCGGGTTCGATTCCCCCGTATCCCATATGGTCCCCCGAGCACTGCCAGGAGTAATTCCTGAGTGCAGAGCCAGGAGTAACCCCTGAGCATCAATGGGTGTGACCCAAAAAGAGAAAAAAAAAAAGGTCTGGGGGCAGGCTAGAGGCCTGCGGGGTGGGTGCTGCTCCTACACCTGTCAGGAGCCCAATGTGCCGGGAGTCAGGGGACTGTGGGACCCCCCCCCAAGGCAGGGAAGTGTTTTCTTCGTGGCTGATGTGGAGCCAGGAAGTGACAGATTCATGGTGATGAGACAAAGACTCAGGAGACAATCAGGAGACAGAATATAGGAGGACAGGAAGGTAAACGGCCCTTCACGGGGCTGAGACATGGCTTGAAGGGCTGCAGCATGGGCCTGGCATGCCTGAGGCCCCGGTTCCAACCCTGCACCATAGTCCCCCAGCACAGCATTGCGCCCAAGCAAGAACTGTCAGGCCCACAAAGCCAGGCCCAGTGTCACCAGGAAAAATGCCCAGTTGCCTAAGTATCACTGGCGGTGTGTGTATGTGTGTATGTGTGTGTGGGGAGCTCAACCCAAAAGCCCAGACATTCATACACTTCTTTCTGTGTTTTGGCTCAATGCACATAGGCCATTTCCAGTGATGTTCTAGGGACTGGATGGTACATGCAGGAGGAGGCCCAAACCCGGACCTCCTGCATGGCAACTATTGAACTAACTCTCTGACCCTTGTTCATTCACTCTTTATTTTGGGGGTTGGGGGAGACCCACACCCAGCAATGCTCAGAGAACCATATGGGGTGCCCCAGGGATCAAACCCAGATTAGCCGTGTACAAGGTAAGGGCCCTCATTGTTGTACTATTGCTCTGGCCCCAGAGTGGCAGTTTCTGAGGGTGGTGGAGCCAGCAAGGTGGCCAAAGAATGAGGGGCGGGGACAAAAAAGGAGGCCCAGCCTCAGGCTGCACTGGGGGCCACAGGCCCAAGAGATGGGACGGAGGCAAGCTCTTGCCCTACATGTGCCCGATTCTGGCTTTGTCCCTTGCTACACCTCTGGTCCCCTGAGCCCTGCTGGGACCCCCAGCAGAGCCAGAAGTAGCCCCTGAACCCCTTTGAGGAGTCACCCTCAAAGTGAGAGTCACAGAGGCAGAGGCTGTGGGAAACAGGCTTGACTGGGAGTCGCCAATCCCAGCAAGGCCTGGACAGAGGCAGCGAGGCAGTGGTCGGAGACCCTGCCCACCTGCCCACCAGCCCCCACTGTCCCCTGTCACGTCCCCACAGGTGATTGACTTTGGCTCTGCCAGCATTTTCAGTGAAGTTCGTTATGTGAAGGAGCCCTACATCCAGTCGCGCTTCTACCGGGCCCCCGAGATCCTGCTGGGGCTGCCCTTCTGTGAGAAGGTAGACGTGTGGTCTCTGGGCTGTGTCATGGCCGAGCTGCACCTGGGCTGGCCCCTCTACCCGGGCAACAACGAGTATGACCAGGTGCGCTACATCTGTGAGACCCAGGGTCTGCCCAAGCCTCACCTGCTGCACGCCGCCCGCAAGACCCACCACTTCTTCAAGCGCAACCCTCATCCCGATGCCACCAGCCCCTGGCAGCTCAAGTCCTCAGCCGACTACCTGGCCGAGACCAAGGTAAGGCAGCCAATGGGGGGAGGGTAGTGTTGGCATCGATCCCATGGCCAGAAAACAAAACTAGGGGCCTGGGATATGGCTCAGAGGGCTGGAGCAGGGGCCTCTTGACCCCCATTACCACTGAGGGTGGTCCCCAAATCCAAAGAAAGAAAGAAAGAAAGATAGAAAGAAAGAAAGAAAGAAAGAGGGGACCGGAGCCCTAGTACAGCTGGGAGGGCTCTTGCCTTGCATGGGGCAGACCCAGGTTCTATTCCTGGTGTCCCATATGGTTCCCCAGGCATCCCCAGGAGTGATCGTTGAGCACAGAGCCAGGAGTAAGCCCTGAGCACCGCTGTGTGGCCCCCTAACAAAACAAAACAAATACAGAGGAAAATAAGAGCCAGAGAGATAGTACAGTAGGTAAGATGTTTCCCTTGCATACAGCTCACCAGGTGCAATTCTGGCACTGTAATAGAGCCCCATCAGAGCCAGGAGTAAGTCCTGAGCACTGGCAGTGTGTGTGTGTGGGGGGGGGGAAGCACCCCAAAAGAGGAGGGAGAGGGGCTAGAGCAATAGCACAGCAGGTAGGATGTTTGCCTTGCATGCGGCCAACCTGGGTTCAATTCTCAGCATCTCATATGGCCCCCTGAGCACCGCCAGGGATAATTCCTGAGTGCAGAACCAGGAGTAACCCCTGTGCATCGCTGGGTGTGACCCAAAAAGAAGAAGAAGAAAAAAAGAGGCGCGAGAGATAGTAAAGGTTAAGTTGTTTGTCTTCCACTCAGCCAACCCAGGTTCAATCACCAGCATCCCAAATGATCTCTGAGGCCCACCAGGAGTGATCCTTGAGCAGAGCCAGGCATAAGCCTTGAGTACTACAGGGTGTGACCCCAAAATTACAACAACAAAATCCAACAACAAACAACCCCACCCCCCAAAAAAATAAAACAAAACAACCACATGAGCCCTAGAGACAGTACATTTGGTAGGGTGTTTGCTTTCCACTCTGCCAACCCAGGTTTGATCCCCAACACCTCATCTCACCCTCCTCATCATCACCCACCAGGAGTGATTCCTGAACACCACCAGGTGTGGCCCCCAAATCAGAAACCAAACCCAACCCCAGCCCCAACCCAACCCTCAGTGGACATCCAAGTCAGCTCTCAGGCTGCACCAGCTGCACCAAAAGTCAGGGCTTGGGGGGGGGGGAGGGGGAGACTGGAGCGATAGCACAGAGGGGAGGGCATTTGCCTTGCATGCAGCTGACCCGGGTTCCATCCTAGCATCCCATATGATCCTCTGAGCACCGCCAGGAGTGATTCCTGAGTGCAGAGCCAGGAGTAACCCCTGAGCATCGCTGGGTGTGACCCAAAAAAGGAAAAAAAAAAAGTCAGAGCTCGGCCGCGTGGATTTGAGTCAGACTGGAAGTCAGGTGTCCAGGGGCCTCGAAGGGTCCGGGGACTGGACTCAGGCTTCACGCCTGGAACTCCCCCACCCCCACCCCCCGTGTCTCCCCAGGTGCGGCCCCTGGAGCGCCGCAAGTACATGCTCAAGTCCCTGGACCAGATCGAGACGGTGAACGGCGGCGGCGCGGCCGGGCGCCTGCCCTTCCCGGACCGCGAGGCGCTGGCCGAGCACGCGGACCTCAAGAGCATGGTGGAGCTCATCAAGCGGATGCTCACGTGGGAGTCACACGAGCGCATCAGCCCCAGCGCCGCGCTGCGCCACCCCTTCGTGTCCATGCAGCAGCTGCGCAGCGCGCACGAGGGCACCCGCTACTACCAGCTGTCCCTGCGTGGCTGCCGCCTGTCGCTGCAGGTAGACGGCAAGGTCCCCGCGGCCCTGGACGACGGGCCCCCCTACTACCGCCTGGCCGAGGAGGAGGAGGCGGCGGCGGCCGCGGGCCTGGGCAGCGGGCCCTTCTTCCGCGAGGAGAAGGCGCCGGGCATGCAGCGGGCCATCGACCAGCTGGACGACCTGAGCCTGAAGGAGGCGGGCTGCGGGCTGTGGGGGGAGCCCCGCGCCGACGCCGCCGTGCCCGACCTGCTGGCCCCGCTCAAGGGCGCGGTGGCCACCGGGCGGCGCGGACCCGACGCGGGCCCCGAGCCCATCCTGGCCTTCTACGGCAGCCGCCTGGCCGGCCGCCACAAGGCCCGCAAGGCCCCCGCGGGCTCCAAGTCCGACTCCAACTTCAGCAACCTCATCCGCCTGGGCCAGGCCACGCCCGACGAGGACGGGCCGCGCCGGGCCAGCGGCTGGGCCGAGGGAGAGCGCCGTGGGGCCTCCGCCGAGCCGCCCACCCTCCCGCACCGGGACGGCGACGGGCCGGACATCAAGGACCTGAACGTGGACGCGGAGGTAGGCCGGGTGCGCGCCCAGGGGGTGCGAGGGGTGGGGCGGGGTTGGCCCCAGTACTCTGGGAACCAGGCCAGCCCTCCTGAACCCACCCTCAGGGGTGACCGGGCCCAGCGCACCCTAATTCACATTCAGGATACAATTAGTTTTTTTTTTTCTTTTTGGGTCACACCCGGCGATGCACAGGGGTTACTCCTGGTTCTGCACTCAGGAATTACCCCTGGCGGTGCTCAGGGGACCATATGGGATGCTGGAAATCAAACCCGGGTCAGTCGTGTGCAAGGCAAACACCCTACCTGCTGTACTACCGCTCCATTCACAACTAGGGTTTTATTTGGGGCGGGGGTATTGGGAGGGGGATGCGGGGATTCTTTTTGGGTTACAACCAGCTGTTCTCAGGGTTCTGTGCACAAGGATCTTTCTTTTTCTTTTTCTTTTGGCTTTTTGGGTCACAACCTGCGATGCTCAGGGATAATTCCTGGATCTGCTTGGGGGACCATATGGGATGCCAGGATCAAACCTGAGTTGGCTGTGTGCAAGGCAAACACCCTACCCGCTGTACTATTGCTCTGGCCCTTGGAATCACTCTTGGCAAGGCTTGGGGGACCCTGCAGGGTACTGGGAATCGAACCTGGGTTGGCCTCTTGCAATGCAAGTCCTTTAATGCCTATACAATCTTTCAGGCACCCGAGTCTTTGTTTTGGGGCCACACTGGCTGTGCTCACAGTTACAACTGGCTCTGTTCTCACAATTGACCCCTGCTGGTGTTGGGGAACCAAGTGCAGGACTGGAGTCTGGGGTTGATGGCATGAGCGGCCTGCATCTTAGCTGCCTGTGCAATTACTCTGACCCCATGATTAGTTGTGTGTGTGTGTGTGTGTGTGTGTGTGTGTGTGTGCGTGCGCGCGCGCTTCCCTTCTACTTCCTCTTTTCTTCATCTCTTCCCTCTTTGAACATTTCTTTTGGGGGGTGGTGGTGGTGGTGGACCATACCTGGTAGTGCTTAGGGGCCTACTCCCAGCCCTGTGTTGGGGAGACTGTGTGGTGCTAGAAGTCAAACCCCAAGCAACCACATGCACCGCAAGTCCCGTGAGTGCTCAGGTCCTGGAGTTAGGATCTGCAAAGGCTTAGCACACCCTGACCCGGCTTCAGGCTCTTACTAAAGACAGACGGGCTGGGGAGCTGGCTCAGAAGGACAGCACTTGACTTGCATGTGTGAGCCCCTAGTTCCATCACTCACACTGCATGCTTCACTGAACAGCAGGATTGATCCCCACCCCCACACGTACCAAAAACCAATAAATAACTTAGATGTGGGGGCCAGAGAAATATTACAGTGGGTCAGGTATTTTCTTTGCATGTAGCAGACGTGGATTCTAATTCCCAGCACCACATAGGGTCCCCCCAAATCCCCGCCAGGAGTGGTCCCTGAGGGTAGAGTTAGGAGTAAGCCCTAGGCATCACTGGATGTGGCTCAGAAACAAACACAAAAAGAAACTCTGACAGGAGAGATAGCGTAGGGGTCATGGTGCTTGCCTTGCTTACAGCTGACCCTGGTTCAATTCCCCAGCATTGCCCCTAGTCCACCAAGCACTGCTGGTGTACCAACAAGAACTGGGGATAAGCCTGCCAGCATCACTAAGTGTGGCTGAAATCCTCCCCACAACAACCTCCACCCCCAACACAATAATGTAATCACATGACGTGCTACAAGCCCCCCAAGTTCAGAACAAGGCCTTAGCACAGGCTCAGCCACACTCAGAAATTCATGAGACCCAGAATCCCCCCAGTCCCTGAAACATTCATGCTCTGAGGGGACTTTTTTTTTTCCTGGGGGAGGGGGGTCAGAGGGCAGGGAAGCACACCCAGCTCAGGGATTACTCCTGGCTCAGCTCTCAGAGATCACTCCTGGTGGGCTCAAGGGAACATATGAGATGCTGGGAATCGAACCCAGGTTGTCTGAGTACAAGGTAAAAATACCCTCCCTGCTGTATTATGGCTGCTATGGCTCCCTAAAGGCACTTCTGACCATTTCTTGACACTGAAGTATGCTGGACATGATCAAGGCTGGGTACTTACAAAGGTACCTTCAGGGGAGCCTGGAAGGGGGTTCAGGGGCTCCGAGCACTTGTGTAGCAATGACAATGCCGTGAGTTCAAATCCCAGTGCTGGGCCAGAGGTAGTTCTGTGGGGAAGATGTTGGTTGGCCTTGCATGCTGTCCAGGGTTCTGGGCACCACACTGGGTCCCCAGAGCCCCACCAGGAGTAATCTCTAAGGACAGAGCCAGGAGGGTAAGCCCTGAGTACTGCCAGGTGTGTGCCCCTCCCTGCTGTGGGTGTGGGACCCCGTGAGAAGCGGCCCAGAAGAGGGCTCCGGGCCTTAGGAAGCGGCTGGGGCACTGTGACGCACAAGCAGAGGGACACAACATGCTGAGAGATCGCGAGGGCCCAGGCGGACTGGGGAGGACTGGGCCTGCCAGGCTGACTGCATCTTTTCCTCTCTCACAGCGGCCGGGCGCTGAGCTCTTTGACCCCAGTAGCTGCCCTGGAGAATGGCTGAGCGACACAGAGTGGACCCTAGAGGGCATCAGGGGGCCCCGGGCCCAGGGCCTGCAGCCCCGCCACATCCACCCGCACGGGCCGCCCCGGGCCACCAGCTTCCTGCAGCATGTCGGCGGGCACCACTGATGGTGGCCCCACCCCTGCATAGACTGAGGGCTGCGCTGGCTGGACTGGCACCCCCTCCTCAGAGCCGTGTCCCTCCCCCGCCCCAAAGCCACAGATTATTCTTTCAGAAAGACACTTATCTGGAAAACGAATTCGTTACACACCCCCGACCCCATCTGCGGCACATACACACCCCACCGTACCCTAATACAGGAGGGTCTTGGGGTCTGGCCCGGGCCCCGTTTGGCCCAAGGGCTGCAGAAGAGGGACTGTCCCCCTGCTGGCCCCCAGCATTCCCTCAGCCCTGTTTCAATAAAGAACTGTTCAGCAGTCTGGCCTCACCTGCCCACCTGCCCGAACCCTGGCCCAGGTGGGGTTCAGACTGGGCCCGGGATGTGATATCATGTCTGCCAGTTGGCTCAAGCTGGGCACTTTAAGGGAAAGGCACAGGTTCTCCCAACCCCCATCTCTGAGAGAGGGCCAGAGACATAGAGCAGTGGTTAGGGCACTTGCCCTGCACACAGCTGACCCAGGTTCCACCTCTGGTCTGATTATTGCCAGGGGTCCATTCTGCATACAGAGCCAGGAATAGCTTCGCACCAAAACCAGCTCCTGGCTGACATAAGCAAGCAGTATGCTGAGTGAGGACGGTTTCAGCAGCGGCCACTGAGGGCTGCTGGCTCAGGGTCACTGACATCAGCTGGACTCGCGTCATGAGCCTATTATTCATGTGTCCTCACCCCAGGGACATGGAGTGCAAATCCACACTGGGTCCTCACACTCACAGACGTCAGGGGCTACAGCTTAGTGGGTGTGTGTCTGGCAGAGACACGCCAAGCAGGCGGCATACGCTCTCACACACACTCTCACACGCTCCGGCATGTTCCAGTTCCTGCACACGCTCCTACACGCAGTTCCCACACATGTTCCCACATGCTCCAGTTCCTGCACACGCTCTGTGGTACTGGCAAGGGATGGCTCAGCTTCCACCGGCCACACGCTCGGTTCAGGGCACATGCACGCCTGTTCATTCCACGTGAAGGCTCGGTACACAGCAGACACATGCCAGACCATGTGGGCAGCAGCTCCACTTCCTTGGGGGCATCCCCTCGGACCCTCCCACACCTCCCGATCCCACTCACTCAGGCCCAGACTGTAGACACAAGTATTTTACTTCTGAACAGAACTGGGCTCGCTTAGCCCTGGAATCGGGGGTGGGTCAGGGGGCTGGGCCCAGCAAGCACCCCCACTTCTTTGGGGGCTGCTCCGTCTCCCAGCTCAGCTGGGTCTGAGAGCCACAACGTGGGGCATAGGGCCGGAGGTAGAGGCACGGGAGCGGGAGAGCGGGGCGGGGAGGTCAGGGGGACCACCAGGGGCAGACAGCAGCGGGGTGTGGGCAGGAGGTGGGGTGAGGCCCAGGGCTGGGGAGAGCGCGGGATGGTCTCAGAGCAGGCGACAGGTGTTGCCCACAGCGTTGGCTGGGGCGTCCAGGTCGTGGCTGTAGGGAGAGTCCCAGTCCCTCAGGAAGGTGGCCTCCAGCTGGCTCCGCAGCCCGCCCTGTCCGTTCTGCGTCACCAGCAGCGAGGTGCCCGCCGTCTCGGTGAAGTAGCTGCCAGACCAGTTGGAGGTTCCTGCAGAGTTGGGGGGTTGGGTGGGGGAGGGTCAGGCCTGGGCCGGTGCCCAGTGGCCCTCATGTCCCCCATGGCGACCACCAGAGCAGGGGCTGCTCACCGATGTAGGCGGTGCGCTCGGTCACCATGTACTTGTTGTGGTTGACGCGGGCGTAGGGGATCCGGGCCTGGGCCTCGTCCGCAGGAACCACAAAGAGTTTCTGAGGGGCAGGGGTGTGGGGAACAGGAAAAGGGTAGATTCAGAGGAACTCCAGGGTGTGGGAACTGGGTCTCCAAGTAATGTGTGTTTGTGTGTGGGGAGGGGGGGGGCTCAGTAAACCGCACAGGCCCCTCCGTTCCTTCTAGAATGGCTCCATTTTACCCCTCTAGCTGCCCCTCGGCTGTCCACCCCTTCCTCCCAAGTCTTCCTGGAGCCCCCAGGTGAGGGCGTTCCTGAGCCCGGATTCCCCCTAGGCCCTGGCCCCCGCCTGGGTGGGCGCTTACCACCTGGATGTCAGCATGAGTATGGTTGTCCCGCAGGGCAGCCAGGGAGGCCAGGAAGGGCCTCATGGATGGCTCCGAGTGGCCCCAGCAACTGACCAGCAGGCGCACCTTGATGCCCCGCTCGTAGGTGGCCCGGCGCAGCCCATCGTCAATGGCGGGCCAGAACCTGCGGGAGGAGGTGCAGGACAGGGCTGCTGGTGGGTGCCGTGGGGCTGGGGCATGAGCCCTGTGAGCTGTCTGGCCCCAGAGTGGGACTCGAACCCAGCGTTATACCTTCCACCTGAGGGAACCAAACCTGCGTCCTTTCTACACTTCAGCAAACCCTCAGATGCTGAGATACCCGAACTCCAACCCAGGTCTCATTTCTGCTGCCGAAACCACCTATCTGCTGTCTCTCATTCCTGTCATACATACCCGCCCCTCTCAACCAAACACCTGGGCAACAGATAGTCTCACAGAACACGCCCCCCCAACCCACACACATTTCCCCAGCTCAGTCATTACCCATTTCCTGTCCCCAAACCTCAACCCTGGGGCCAGAGCGATAGCACAGTGGATAGGGTGTTTGTCTGCCTTGTATACAATCCCTAGCATCCTATTGGTCCCCCAAACCCTGCCAGAAGTGATCCCTGAGAGCAGAGCCATAAGTACCTCTGAGCATCGCCAGGTATGACCCCAAAACAAAAACAACAAAAAAACCCCCCAAATGGTCCAACCCCCTAAACCAACCCTGAGCCCTCTATTCCAGGCTTCTCAATACATTTCCAACCCCTGCCTACTGCTTCTGACCTCCCGAAATCCCAGACACCCCACTCCCATCACCTTGGGCCTCCAACCCTTCCTGTCTCTAGAGCACCTGTGCCTCTCCTGGGGGCTGCCCCTGCCCGTGCCCTCTCTGCCTGGCACCTGTGGACTGGTGGTACCTGTGCGGGCGGGAGAACTCCATGGTGGGCAGGTAGTTCATGACGGCGATGTAGATGAAGCTCCGGGCGCTGTCCACCACGTTGAGCAGGGCCTTCAGGTCCGGGGTGCGGCCACTGGGACACAGAGGAGGGGGTGCGCTCTGCGGGGGGAGGGGACAGTTGACAGGTCAGCAGCCCGAGGCGGCTGGTCTCCTGCTCAGAGAAGGTAAGTGACTTGCCCGCAATCACACAGCTGAGAAACAGAAAAAGATGATCCCGGCCCCAGCAGCACTGGACTCTGGGTTGGACTCAGGCCTCCTGGTGATTCTGATTTTGCTTTGTTTTTGGTTTTTGGGCCACACCCATCGGCACCAAGTGATGCACATGTGATACACATGATACACTCGAACCCAGGGCCAGGCTGTAGTGAGGTACATGCTGTGTCTTGGAGCCACAGCTCCAAGCTCGTATTTATTTGTCTGGTTCTCTACAATACTGGGGGATGAATCCAGCTTCGTCTCCAGCCCAATATATGTCCCTCTCCTCAATATTTTTTCCTCTGGTGCCATGGATCCAGTGCAGGACCTCACACACCCAAGGCAAGTGCAGGGGCTGGCAGAGTAGGCAGGGGCGGGGCCTGCCTCCTGCCCCACATTTCCACCAATCGCAGGGAAGATCTAGGTGGTGGCATGTGTGACGGCCCTGTTCCCCCCACCCGCCAACTCACTGCCAGGTATGCCAGCGCAGGGGTTCCATTGAGGCAGATCTCCATGGGCGACTCCTGATTGTAGCGGGTGTCATAGGGCCGGGGCCAGGGGGACGGGATGGAGCTGCCCTCCTGGCCCAGGTACCAGTAGGCCTCGAAGATCTTGCTCAGGTCCTGGGCCAGGCAGCTGCAGTTGTACATGACCACGCCCAGCTCCTTGACCTATGGAGAGGAAGCGGTGGCTGAGATGGGATGGAGACAACGGCCAGGATGCAGTGGGTGGCAGCACCTGTGGTGGGGCAGGACGCACCGACCTGGGTCAGGGAGCGCCAGTCCATGTTAGCGCTGCCGATGTAGAAGTGGGTCTGGTCCACCACCCAGAACTTGGTGTGCAGGACGCCACGGGTCAGCTTCTGCATGTCTACCATGCGGACCTGAGCACCTGGAACCCCCGTGGGGAAATGATCTAGTGGGTTTGTGCAGCCAAGACCTCGCTCCCAGCTCACCCTCGGCATGGCCTCCCCTCAGCCCCCTGGTGATCCTGCCTTCCCCTCCCAGCTCACCCTCTGCAGCCCCCCGCCCCCCCACCAGCTCACCGCTCTGCAGCAGGGTCTGCAGGTCAGCCTGTGGCTGGGGCCCGTTGGGCTTGCTCACGGCAACCCGGACTTGCACACCCCGAGGGCCCAGGCTCTGCAGCTGCTGCAGGATCTCTTCGCCCTGGGAAAGGGAACAGCCTCTGAGGGAGTGCACGGGCCAGCCCAGCCCAAGCACGGGGTATTTGGACGCTGGGCCTTGAGATGCCATCAGGAGCAAATGGGTTTTTCCTACAGCAAGTTCACCTATGTCAGATTTGTTTTGCTTTTTTTGGGGGGGCCACACTCAGCTTACACCTGGTTCTGTGCTCCTGGTGGGGCTCTATGGGGTGCCGGGGATCAAATCTGGGTTAGCCAGTGGCAAGGCAAATACCCTACCTGCTATATTATCGCTCCAGCCCCTCCTCTATGTCCATTTTACAGGTTAAGACTTTAAAACCACTTAGGGCCATTAGGATAGTACAGAGGTTAAGGTGCTTATCCTACACACCAACCCCAATTCAAATCCCTGGCACCATGACAAAAATAATGTTGTCAGGGCATTATTTTGAGATGATGTCTCAAAAGTTAACATCAATTCAAAATGTAAATTAGGTGAAATATATTTTCAACGAATATATTTATTAGTTGAATAATATGCAGGTCCTTGGGGACCTAACACGTGTCATCAAACCTTAAGTGACAGCTGTAATGTCCAGTCAGCCTGAAAACAAAAAACTGAGGCCTGCTCAGGACTCACTCCTGGTGGGCCTGGGGGACGATATGGAAGGCTGGGGATTGAACTGGGGCTGGCCGTATCATGCGCCCTCCTCACTGAACTATTGCTCTGGCCCCAGATTGTTGTGGTTTTAATCCAAGATTTAAAAAAATTTTTCAAAAAATATTTTTTGTTTGATTTGGGGCCACAGCTGGCAGTGCTCAGGGATTACTCCTGACTCTGTGCTCCCTGGATAACTGCTGATGGTGCTCGGGGACGAAAGCTGGATCAGCTGTGTGCAAGGCAAGCATCTTAACCTCTTCTGGCCCTGCTTGGTTCCTCTCCCCCAACTCCTTTGCCTTCAATTGAGGAAGTCTTTGCCCTTCACTGTTTACGTTGGGGCACACATTCTAAGCATTTCTGAGTTCAGTTTTTTTTGTTGTTGTCGGGGGCTCCCAAGCATGGCTCAAGGGGCTCAGGGGCTCTCTCCCGATGATACTTGGTCAAGTGGGCCAGCTGAATGCCAGGGACCAAGTATGCAGAGCTGCTTTGGCCCCGTAGTGCAGGGGCCACTGGGGTCACCCTAAAAATGCCTGGAGGCATCAAGGGCTACACCCAGTGATGCTCAGTGAGGCCATGTGAAGCCAGGGATCGTGTGGAAAAGGGGAGCAAATGGGGGGTACCATGAGATGAGCACATCTTCCAGGCTTGATTTGACTATTTTTGTACATTTAAAAAATTATTATCATTATTATTTGGTTTGGGGGCCACATCTGATGGTGTCAGGGCTTAATCCTGGCTCTGTGCTCAGAGGACACGTCTGGAGGTGCTCAGGGAAACCCTATGTAGTACCAGATTGAACTGAGGTCAGCCATGTGTAAGTGCTTAACCCCTCTAGATTATCTCTCTTGTCTACATTTTTCTCAATTATTAAATCTCTCTTCTTAAAATAAAAGGTGAGTTCAATTTTTTTTGAAGCAGTTGATAGAGAAAGGAAGGAGGGACCGAAGTGATTGTTGGGTGTTTGCCTTGCACGTGGCCAATCTGGGTTTAATCCCTGGCATCCTACATGGTCCCCCGAGCACTGCCAGGAATAATTCCTGAGTGCAGAGCCAGAAGTAAGTAATCCCTGAGCATCACCAGCTAGGACCCAAAAAGCCAAAAAAAAAAAAAAAAAAGGGAGGAAGAAGGAGGAAAATCACTGGTCTTTTCCCTGGAAGGAGTATCCACTCACAAGGTTCCTTTCCAAACCCAGAAGCCTGGTGGTCTAAGTTACATAAATAACAAGGCTGTGATATTGGCTGATGCCCAGGATAGCCAGGCTCTGAGGGGCTATGAACTAGCTTTCTTTGTCCTTCAAGTGGAGGGATGCTGTACACTGGCCCTATCATAAGAGATAGTATAATTTCTTGGTCCCATTCTACAGATCAGGAGACTGAGACCTCAGAGGTAAGGGGACACATGTATAGCCCCACAGCTAGCAAGTAGTAGTTGGGCTGTTATTTGGGGCTACCCTCCACTCTGCCACTTCCCTGTGTGGAGGTGAGGGAGGTTCTTGCAAGTGACCAACCCCTGCCAACATAATCCTGTATGACCAAACCCACATCCTAACATCATAACGCAGATGCAACCCCTTGCCAGCTGTCAGGTACCTGCTGGGCAGAGGGCTCCTGGGTATGGGTGTCATTGTTGGTCAGCGTCCAGTAGAAGGAGGCGATGTCCACGCTGCTTTGGGCGCTGGCGAGCAGGCCCAGCCAGGCCTGGCTGGTGGAGGGGTTGCTGGTGGAGGCGTTGGGGAAGTCCAGGCCCTCAGGGATACTCTCCACCAACACGGCTCTGGGGGGGGTGGGGGTGAGGTTCAGACCCAGGTGGGCCAGAGTATGGCTGGACTCGGCCCCGGTCAGCTTGCTGCTCAGATGCCCGAGGGAACATGGGATGCTGGGGATTGCACCCACATGCAAAGCAGGTGCTCCAGCCCCTTGAGCCATTCCAAGGCTGGGTTATTGTGGGGGCTCTCCTCCTGAGACTCTGGGTCTCTGCATCTGTGTGGAGGTGTGGAAACGAGGCTGTGTGTGCGTGTGTGAGTGTGTGCGTCTGCGTGCGCGCCCGCACACATGTGGACAGGAAGCTGCCATGCGCGTCTGTTCCCCCACCTGGATGCAGGATGACGCGGTGGCTGCCATGGCAACAGTGTGGGAAGAGGGTGGGCATGGGGGGCTGGGGAGAGCTGTGAGGGAGCACTTGAGAATCTGAGTCACCTCCTTGTCCTGGGCGCCATGGATAGCCGCATGCAGCCTAGGCTTAGCCTAATGCCACCCCCCCAAGCTGTGGGTTTCTCTCCGCTGTGACCCCCACTTACTCGCATGGGTCATAGCAGGGGGATGGGCGCTGGTACGGCCCGAAGAGATGCAAGTCTCCATATTCCCATAGGAAGAGCTGAGTCATCAGGGCCCCCAAGCCCACCACTGCGACGACGAGGACCAGCAGGACCCAGCGTGCTTTCTGCAGGAAGGGGGAGGTGGTCAGCGGGGGAGGGGGGCAGGCAAGCCAGTCCTCGCCTGTCACCCACGCAGGCTCCTACCTTCTCTGCAGCCTTCCAGGCCTCAATCTCATTCAGATGCATTTCCACCGTTTCCTCCACGGGTACCTTCAGCTGAGAGGGGGGCATCAGGGAGATGATGGGTGGCTCCCTGGAGTCGGCTCCCTCGCCCCGACCCTCCCCCCAATCCACCTACCTCCTGGTACACTAGCTTCGGCTTCATCTTGCCGGGTGGCTAGGGCCAAAGCAGCCCAGATGGGAAAGTGGGTGTGTCGGGGTCTCCAAACTGCGGGGAAGGAGAGCGGTCACTGGGGGACACGGCAAAAGGCATGTCGGTCTTGGGACTCACAGGGCCCCACTGGGGCTCCTGTTCCATAATCACAGGGGTCGCTGGCACCCTGCCCGCCCATCCAAAAGGAGGAAGCTGTGACTGGCCAGCATGATTTCGAAATCTCTCAGTGTCCAAGACCTCGTGCCTTCTTCCCATCCCTGGACATGCAGGGCCTGTCCACCCTCCACCCCACCCCATCACGTCTGTCCACGCTGGCCCCCTTAACGCCCACCCGGGACCCTGGGTCTTGTCCCTCCAAGTCCTGACAGAGGCAGTCCTCCAACACAATCCTGGGGATGGTGTGAGAGGAGCCCCAAATCTTGGTGCCTGAATTTTGCCCACTCCCGGGGCGACCTGGGGAGCGTTTTCCAGGTGATGCGCTCAGGTGCCCGCAGACAGCTCAGTCCCGGAGCCCCCGGAGCCCCCCGCAACCCCGTCCCTTCTCCACAATCCTCCCTTCCCCCATTCTCCCCCAAGGGCTTCGGTCTTACGGAGCAGGCGGCGGCGGCTGCTACCGCGGCGGGGCCCCGGCTTCTGCCCCGACAGGCTGAGCAGGGGCGGGCGGGGGGCGGGGCCCTATGAGGCTCCGCCCACTGCAGCGGGGAGTCTGCGCAGTGCGCGCAGCGGCCGCGGCGGGGGCTGCGGGTCGGCCCCCAGCCCGGCGGCGGTGGGTGTTGTGCGGGTTCGGGGCGTCTAGGCTTTGTCTTTCCGGTAGGGTGGGGAGGCCGCAGGTAAAGAGCCAAAGGGACTCAGTTCCGTGCTATGGGCGTGCGTTATTTATTTAGCGAAGGAGAAATGGGATCAATCGAATCAGGGATTGAGAATATTTGAGAATAAAAATTTTAAAATGGAGAGAGCAGGTTGGGTCTCGAAGCCTGGTCGGGGAGGGGGCGGAGCGGCGAGCGGGTCCCAGATCCCCGAAGCCGTGGGCTGGGATCGCGTTTGTTTTGAGCCGGCTGGTATTTTAGTAAGGGATTTCCAAACGCTTTGCTTTTGAAGTCCGGACTCCGACCGGGGAGGTTGAGGCACGGTGCCTCCCACCCTTCGCGAATCTCCCCCAGTCTCCCTCCAAGCAGGATCCAGAGCTGGAGAAGTAAATGGGAGAATCCCACCTCTCCCCACCCCCTGAGTGGAAGCGGGGCACATGCCCGCCCCGGCAGGAAGTCTATAGATAAATGCAGAAAAGGATTATTCCTGGGAGAAGCGCTAGCGTCAGAAGCGGTTGCCTAGGGGCCGGGAGCCTGGTTTGAAACGCTGGAGCGCATGCGGGAGCCGGGTTTGGCCCCCTGAGTACTCGGCCCCACGGCAGGGACTCAGCCCCACGGAGCCCTCTGTTTGGCCAAGCGTGCACACACTCTGTCCCCACCCCACCCCCGCCCCCAAAGTGCTCAGGTTTCCTCTGGTGTGGGGGGTGCGAGACGTCAGGATTGTTTTCCATTGCGAGCTTATTTTAATACTTCCCTTAAATTGCATAACAGGGGCTACCAGGTGGTTTCCAGAGCACCCCCCCCCCCCACACACACACCGAGTGATCCTTGCCCCCAGAGGCCAAAGCAGAGTGGGGAATAGCCTCTGAGCTCTGCTTGGTGTGGCCTCAAAACGCCTCGACCCCCCAAATTAGAAAACTACAGAGGCAAGGGCACATGCCTTCCATGCTTGGAAAGCTGGTGGCTCTGCGGCCCCACAAAGACCCCCTGCGACACCTGCACACCTGCGAGTGTAGCCCCAGAAGCTCCCAGCAGCGTCGAGGGCCTGAGCAGTGGCCAAGGACCTGAGCATTGAACGTTCAGACTTGCAGGCTGAGTATCACAGAGAGTGGCCCCGAGCCCTCCTTGGGAGGCCCCCACCCCCCAAGTGTGAAATATAAGTGACATAAAAAAGTCAGTATGGCTAGGAGTCATTCCTGAGTGCAAAGCCAGGAAGGAGTAAACTCTGAGTATCGCCAGATGTGGCCCACAAACAAAACAAAAATCATATATGTGCATTACGTATTATTAAAAAAAAAAGAAAAAAAGAAAAACCCGAGTCCCTGGGCTGGGAATGAGGCTCAGCGGCAGAGCACACAACTTGCCTATCTGAGGACCTGGGATTAAACCTTCGCACTGCAAAAAAAAAAAAAAAAAAGCAGCAGACATTAAAAAGAAAGTTAGGGCCGGAGCAATAGTGCAGCAGGCACTTGCCTTGCACGTAGCAGACCTGGGTTCGAGTTCCAGCACCCCACAGGTTCCCTTGTGTCCCTCCAGGAGCAATCTCTGAGCACAGAGCCAGGAGGAAGCCCTGAGAACCACCAGGTGGGACCCAAAAGTCAAAGCCAAAAGCCGCAAGCCAAAAAAGGAAAAAGAAAGAACATAAGCTAGGTTCTCCCTTTGCCCCAAAGAATCTTCTGGGATGTGAGAGCATAAGAATCTCCTCTCCCTAACCATTTTTTGCTTGGAATTTGGGCCACATCAGGCAGTGCTCAGGTCACTCCTGGTGATGCTGGGGATCTAAACCGGGTCAGCTCTATGTAAGGCAAGTGTCTTAACCTCTGTACAGCCCCTCCTTCCCTCTTGCTGCCTGCTTCCAGCTTGGCTAGGCCAGGGCACCATTAGATTTTTCTCCTGTGAGAAATGGTCAGAGACTGAGTTGATATGGAGAAGCTGGGGGTCTGGGGGAAAAAGAGGGAGGCCTTGGGGTTAAGGTGGGGAGGGTAGCAGGCAGGGCGCTGGGCGAGGAAACATCATTTACCTCGGATTTGTGCCGGCTGGGGGAGAAGTGCTTTGTGTAAGAACATCGGGTTGGAACAGCAGGGTTTCCTGTGAAATTGGGAAATCTAAGGTCAACAAAACTGAAGGAGTTGGTGAAGGATCAGATAGAATGAGGAGAGTCTGGGAGAGGGCGTGGCCACTGTAATACAACAAAATTCGGGCAAGAAGAGGTGACTGTGTCCCCATGGGCACCTTTTGACTTATAAATTCTGCAGGGATCAGCCTGGGGCATGGCTCAAAGGGCTGGTGTGTAGCCTTGGCACGTGAGGGTTTCATTCCTAGCACCATATGGTCCCCTTGGCTTATCTCTGAGCACCAAGCCAGGAGTAGCCCCTGAGTAATGTTGGGTGTGACTCAAATCCTGCCCAACCAAGAAAACAACCCCCAAACCAAACAAAAAAACAAGCTGCACAGCAGCTGTAGGTCTTCAACAAATGGTTTAATGTTTGGGGTGGTATTAGGGGCCCCCATTTGGGAGTGCTCAGGGCTTACTTTAAGCTCTCTGCTTAGGGACCACTCCTGGCAGGGCTCAGTGGGACAATATGGGGTGGAGGGATAAAATCTGGGTGAGTTACCTGCAAGGCAAGAGCCCTACCTGCCTCATTATCTCTCGCCCTAAATGGTTTAACTTTTCTTTTTCTTTTACATTTTTTCATTAATGGGGTGGAGAGATAGGTCAGTGTGTAAGGCACTTGACTTGCATGTGGCTGACCCAGGATCGATTCCCAGTATCCTATATGGTCCCTAAGTACTGCCCTACTTGATTCCTGAGTACAGAGTCAGGACCTCAAACCAAACACCCAGTGGTGCTAAGGGGTTACTCTGGCTCTACATTCAGGGACACTAATGGTGGTGCCTGGGTGCTTGAGGAACCATAAGGCATGCCAGGGATCGAACCTGGGACAGCTGGATGCAAGGCAAACTCCCTACCTGCTGTACTACCAATCCAGCTCCTATATTTATCAAAGCAATATGCCTTAGGTGTTTAATATGTTGAACCACCGCTGCAATTTGTGTTTGTTTAAACCACATTCACGTGTGACACTCTGGTGGCAGACACCAATATCAGTGTGCTCAACAGAAACCCAGCATGGGCAGGTGCTTGAAGCAGGAGCAGCTCAGACTGTGGATCCCAGAGCCAGATGCCTGATTTGAGAAGAGCCTGAGTATTTGGGTGAAAGAGAAAGGATGATGTTGCCGTGCCTTGGCTTACCCACACGCAAAATGGGTTTGAACACAGCAGCATCTACTTTTTCAAGGCTGATCTCACTCATAATTACTGAATATCTACTGTGTAGCGACTGGGATTATTTCAGCCCTGAGACAATCATTAGAGGAAGCAGATGAGAGGGGAAACTAAGGCAAGAAGGGATAGGATCGATCAGTTTGGCTGTAGGAGGGGCCCAATTCTCTGTTCCAGATTTTTTTTTTCCAGGAGCTCCTGGAACATATGGTAGGTGACTGTGACCACGTTTGGAATAAAGGACCTTAGCAGAGGGAATGAAGGGAGTACGGCAAGTCATAGTATGGCGGGGAGGGCACATGGCAACCTGGGTTTGGTCCCCAGCATCCTATATGGTCCCTAGAGCACCGCTCAGAAATCAGTGATTTCTGAGTGCAGAGCCAGGAGTAACGCCTGAGCATTGTTGGGCGTGACCTTAAAACAAAAACCCAAAACCAAAATTGAGGGAATGAGGGATTGTGGTAAGTGAGACACAGCATCTCCGTGACAGTCACCGGAAAGGCAAGCTGGACTGGATGACAAGTGAACTTGATCTCCAGAGCTGTGTGGAAAATGTATATGTGTGGGTGGGAGGTGATGGGGGTCAGACCCAGGGCTCGCACATGCAAGGCAAGTGCTCTGCCCCTGGGCCATAGCTCCAGCTTTCATTTTTTTAAAAAAATCTTTAATACAGTGGGGAGGGTGCTTGCCTTGTATGCGGCTGATTCAGATTCAAACCCTGGCACCCAATAGGGTCCCCCAAGCCCCTCCAGGAGTGATCCCTAAGCAGAGTGGTAGAGTTAAAAGGATTGCCGGGTATAGCCCAAACAATAAAGAAAGAAAAGAGCTTAGAATAACAAGTCCCCCCACTCCCTAGGGATGGGTGGGTGGGGAGGTGCTTTTTTTTTTTGGTTCACACCCAGCTATGCTCAGGGGTTGCTCCTGGCTCTGCACTCAGGAATTACTCCTGGCAGTGCTTGGGGGACCATATGGGATGCCAGGGATTGAACCCAGGTCGGCCGCATGCGAGGCAAATGCCGTACCTGTTGTATTATCACTCCGGCCCCATGGAGTGGGAGCTTTTTATAGGGAGGAATGGCCACACTCTGCAGAGCTAGAGTTTATCAGGTGGTTTTGGGGATCAAACCCAGGCCTCCTGCCTGCAAAATATGAACTCCAGCCTATGAGCTGAATGGTTGGCTCTGAGGTATTTTTTTTCTTTCTTTCTTTCCTTTTCTTTTTTGCAGGGGTTTTGTACACCTGGTGATACTCAGGGCTTATTCCTGTCTCTGTGCTCAGGGATCGCTCTTGGTAAGGCTTGGGAGACTATCATGGGTGCCAGGAATTGAACCCGAGTCAGGTGCCTCCAAGCACCATATCTGCTGTACTATCATTCCAGTCCCTTCGACACAAATTTTGGCCTGAGAACTTGCAAGGTACAGGACAAGGATCAGGGCTGGGGAAAGACTGGGAATATAGAACGAACAGATACATATGTATGTATAAGTGTGTGTGCGTACACCAACCACATGCACACATAATTTGAACCTAACAGTTGAAATATGAAAAATCGAAGTGACCCTTCTGAATGATAGCAAGGCACACATGTCAAGTGCATTCCAAGGACATGAAGTTCTCAAGTTCTCTGTAAGCATGACCGTACTGAGGCTCCTGTAATCATGAAACAAAACAAAACAAAACAAAACAAAATAAGAAAAAAGAGGGCGAGGTCTATACTCTTCAATCCTCTTTTTTTTTTTTGACTCTTTACTATTTAACTTTCCTTTGTTTTTTGGGCCACATCTGGTGATGCTTAGGGGTTACTCCTGACTCTGTGTTCAGGGATCACTCCTGGTCATGCTTGGGGGATGCTGGGTATCAAACCTGGGTCGGCTCCACACAAGGTAGGTGCCCTATCCATTGTACTATCTATCGCTCAGCCCCCTTAACTTTTTTTTTTTAAATGTAGGAGTACTGTTATCTCCTTAACTTTTTATCCTGTATTCCCCCATTTGATCTCGCCTGCCACTATCAGACAGAAAACACAGGGTTGCTTTTTCCTTGCACTTGTAGTGGAAACCTTGGCAGCAGACAAGTGACTGCATTACTTAACTTTTTTGGTGGGTAGAGGAGGTGTTGGGAACTAGAATCCAGAATCCTGGAGATCCCACCCCTGAACTGCTTCCCCTGGGCAGAACTAGAATTTCCCCTGAAGGAAGAGCTTTATGTTTCTGTTCAACCAAACCCATGTTGGTCCTTGTCCCCTGTCCTTACAGAGCATGGTTTCTCTTTTCCTCATAAGCCCTGTCTCGTTTCAGTAAAAAATTTGCTGGTCACTAGCCTGTAACTCATTCTTCTGTCCATCAGTCAGGGGAACATGTATCCATCCTGAATGCTCCAGGGGACCCGAACACCATGGGTCAGTGACAAACATCAGGTGCCCAAACATCGGTTGCCATCATCCTGTGACTCATTCTTGTGTCCATCAGCTGGGGGAGCATAGATTAGTCCTGAACGCCCCAGGGTACCCGGTCATGGTCAGGATGGAGACGGGCCACAGCCAGAGGTGCTCAGGGGTCACTATGCGGTGCTGGGGGGGGGGTGTGTGTGTGTGACAAACCTAGGTAACTCATATGCAAGGAAACTGCCTTTACCCCTACACCCTGACTTGATTTTCTTAATTATATTAGTGGGTAAAATGTACAATATCAGTAACTGCAGCACCAACAAAAGTTATTATTTTAATCTGTTGGGGTTTATTTTGGAGAGTTCTCAGGGGTCACTCCTGGCTCTGCACTTGGGGAACACGCCTGATGGTGCTTGGGAGACCAGTTTAGGTGCTGGGGATAGAACCTGGGCTGGCTGCGTGCAAGGCAGGCACCTTACCTGCTATATTGTCTCTCCAGCCCGTTTAACCTTTTTTGTTTGTTTGGTTTTGGGCCACACCTGGCGATGCTCAGGGTTGACTCCTGGCTATGTACTCAGGAATCACTCTGGGTGGGCTAAGGGGACCATACGGGATGCTGAGGATCAAATGTGACTCAGCTATGTGCAAAGTGCCTTCCCTGCTGTACTATCTCTCTATTTAACTTTTCTTTCTTTCTTTTTTTTTGCTGGGGATGGAACCCAGGTTGGCCATGTGCAAGGCAAATGCCCAACCCTCTGTGCTATCACTCTAGCCCATTTAACTTTTCTTAAGGCACACAGAAGTTCTGCAGAAATTAAATTCTGAGGCTCAGGTTCCTCACTGGGGGCAGGAGGGTGTTGGTTGCTCCTTCCCCACTCCCCAACCCCAGGTCCCTGGGGGAGCAGGGAGGGGAGAGACTGAAGGTGGGTGGCAGGAAAAAGACCTCAGTGGGCAGGAGATTCGATCCCCAGTACCACACAAGGTGCCTTGAGCAGTGCCAGGAGTGACCCTTGAGTACCTTCAGGTGTGGCCCAACACCCTTCTCCAACCACAACCCCACAAAATGCAAGAAACAGAGCGAGCACCAGCAGCTGGATCAGGCTGTAGGGGCTGCGCTTCCAAACTGTCCTTCCCCCTGGAGCCCAGAGCCCCAGGTGGGCCATTCCTGCATCCTCGGGGTGTCCTGCTACCCAATCCCAGGGCACAGATGCCCCCTGACCTCGGGGCAGGACACCACAATCCACAGGAAAGAAGAAAGCAGAACCCTGTGGGTTTTTGAGGCACTTCCCCTGGGGTTTGTGACATCTGCTCCATGCACAGTGCTCAGGGGACCATGCAGAGCTGGATGGAGCCTTAACCAGGCCACCCACATGCAAAGGCCGCACTCCAGTCTGTTCTGCCATCTCTGGCCTCAACCTCATTTGTTTAAAATTTTATTTTGGCCCTTGCAGACCACGCAAGTTTTATTTTAAGTTTTGGGCCGTGCTCAGGGCTCTGCCTCTGTGCTCAGCAATCATCCCTGGTGATGGTTGGGGAACCAAATTCGATGCTGGGAATAGAAGCAGTGGCAGTGTACGCCAGGCAAGTGCCTAAACTGTGTTCTCTGCCTCTGGGTTATCAGCATCAGTTGTGGCATGTGCAACATGCCTGGGATTAAGTTTAGAACTTCAAGCTTGAGGATACGAGCCGCAAGGAGTAATTAATTCCTGAGTGTAGAGCCAGGAGTAAGCCCTGAGCACTGCCAGGTGTGGTCCAAACACCAAGGGGGGGGGCATAAAACCCCTCAGCCCAGTCCTGGTTGTTTTCTTTTCTTTTTAATATTTTGTCTTTTTGGGTCATACTAAGCGATTCTTAGGGGTTACTCCTGGCGGTGCTCAGGGGACCATATGGGATGCTGGATATTGAACTTGGATCAGCCACATGCAAGGCAAATGATCTCTCGGCTGTACTTTTGCTCCAGCCCCGGTCCCCCCCCCCCCTTTGTTTTGTGGCACACGGAGATTACTCCTCGTAGGGTCTGGAGGACCCTATGGGGTGCTGTGGATCAAACCTGCTGGGCTACGTGCATGCAAACTGCCCTCCCCACTGTACTACTGCTCTGGCCCCACCCTGGGTGCTTTCTATATTTCTGGCCGGGAGCACAGACGGATTGTCCCCATCAGCTTCTGTGCATGTGGCACACTAGGGTTTGAACTCACATTTCTGTTTGCCAGAGAAGTGTCTTAAGCCAATGAGTCGCCTTCCACACAATTCTACCCCCATCTTCGCTGGAAGTCACTGAACCTGCACAAACTGGCTGAGGTCTATGTGCCCCCCGCCCAGTCCCCTGTACAGTTATTTTGTTTTGTTACACCTGGTAATGCTCAGGGGTTTCTCTTGGCTCTGTACTCAAGCATTACTCCTGGTGGTACAAAGGGGACAGTATGGGAAGCCAGGAATCAAACCCAGTTCAGCTACATGCAAGGCAAGTGCCCGACCTGCTGCACTGTCACTCCAGCCCCTGTACACTGTTATCACCAGTAAAAACCTTATATACATCCCTTGAAAGCCGAGTTTGCTCCTCACCTCCCACCCCCCAGCCCAGTCCCTGATAACTATTCCCTGTTTGTGGATTACAGGAGAAATGGAGAAGCCAAATGGAAAACTCTGAATTTTTTTTTTTGGGGGGGGGGAGGGCCACTACCATTTGTACTCAGAGCTTACTCCTGGCTGTGCATTCAGGGATCACTCCTGCTGGGGCTCAGGGGTCCCTATGGGATGCCGGATATCAAACCTGGGTTGGCTGCATGTAAGACAAGTGCCCTACCTGCTGTACTATTGCTTTGATCCCTGAATAGAAAACTTTGGAGTAGAGCTTTCTGGGCTGTCTCTCCAGACATACTGACGTTTGTTTTTAACACAGTGATCACCAGCTGAAGTGTTAGCCCAGAGCAGATAGGGTCTGTGCCAGTAAGTAGCCTTTCAGCCTGGGAGTGAAGTTCAAGGTTGGTTCAGTGCCATGGGAGGGGGTAGGCGTGGTGGGTGACGAGTAGCTGAATGTCACACGAAGATCTGGCTTGGCCATACCATAAACATTTACAAACCAACATGCTCAGCTGACAAGGAGCCCGCTTTCCAGGACCCTGTAGACACCCTGGACTGAATGAAACAGAGAACAGAGCACTGGTTTTGCAAACTAATTTTTTTTTCTTTGGCTACATCCACCTGTACTCAGGGCTTACTCCTGGTTCTGTGGTCTGGGATCATATATGGGGTGTGCCAGGATTTGAACCAGGGTTGACTATGAGCAAGCAAGTACCCCACTCACTGTAGTATCTTTACAGTCCCCAAAGTGAACCCCTGCACTCCGATCTCTGACTACCCCAAATCTGACTCCTAGACACCCTGCCCAGGTGTTCCACTCTTCATGTTCTGCATTTCAAGAATAGTCGTCCTTCCCATCTTCAGTCTGTGTGCCACCTCCTTCAGGAAGGCCCCCCAGACTCCTCCTGCCCAGGCCCTAATTTAGGCATCCTCCATCCCCGACAACTTGTCCACCTGGCCTTTCTCACCCCTGCCCCCTTCTATTCCTTCCATGTGACCTATGCACCATCTCTAGCTTCCCTCCCACTGAACCGTTCCAACTCCCCCTTGTCTTAGCCCCACCTGACCTCCAGCTCAGAACCTTTCTGTGGGCCCGCCATATCCTCAGGAGAAAGACTCATCAACTGACTTGACTGCAGAGCTGGGTAGGCTCTTCTTCGAATACCTCCACCCCCCCCATTCCCACCCCCGCCCCGGCTTCCTTTCACCATCCTCTCTAACCCACCACAGTTAGTACCTTTCAGTTCCTCTAACCAAAACCACTTTTACCACTTAATCATCCTTCAGCTGCTTCTCCATCCTAGACCTTTCCGGATCGCAGCGAGAGTACAACGGGTAGAGAGTCTGCCTTGCATGCAGCCGACCTGGGTTCCATCTCCAGCAAATGGTCTCCCCAGCCTGGCTAGGAATGATTCCTGAGTATTTGAGCAATGTTGGGTGTGGCCCAAACCTCCGTCCCCCTCCAAAACAAAACAAAATATCAGAACACCAAATCCAAAACATCCTAGTAGACTTTTCTCTGCCTTCTGTTGCTCATTTCTTAAATTTTTATTTTTTTCTTTTTGGGGCACATCTAGTGCCCTACTCTTTGGCTCCTTGTCTCTGTTTTGTTTTCTTTTGGTGTTTGGGCCACACCAGGCAGTAGTCAGGATTTACTACTGGCTCAGTGCTTACTCCTGATTCAGTGCTCAGAGTTTACCTCTGATGGTGCTTGGGGAGGATATCAAGAATTGAACGAAAGTTAGTCATGTACAAGGCAAGTCCCTAAACCTCTATACTATCTCTCTGACCTTCTCTTTTTTTGTTTTTTTGAGAGGGGTGCATAGCCAACAGTGCTCAGGGGATACTCCTGGCTCAGTGAGTGTTTGGGGGCCACCCCCAACAGGGTTCAGGGATATTCCTTGAGCTGTGCTTGGAGGTTGCTCCCAGCAGGACCATGTAGTGTTGGTGATTGAACCTGGGCTTCCCACATGCAAAGCAGGCACTCAGCCCATTGATGGCTCTCTGCTCCCTGCCTCTAGGTGTTGTGGCAATTCCTGGTGGTGCTCAGGGGCTATGCATTGGCGAGTATGGAAGCATGTGCTCCAGCCCTGTGAGTCATCTACCCCGCCCCGCGCCAGAGACAGAATGTAAACTCCACAAGGCCAGGGAAATTGGTCTGTTTTGTTCACTGAGGTGTTCCCAATGCCTAGCATGGTGGTGGGCATGTAGAACAGGCTTAATACACGTTCACGGAATGGAGTGACTTGCATCTTCCTTCCCATACGGCAGAGGCAGTCATGGGGGCACAGGGCTGTGAAATCAACCTGCCCAAGCTCATATGGCTCTTAACGTATACAAAGTACTTGAATTAAGGTAGGAAGCAGCCGCAGGCTTTGCAAACTGCCGTGCTGCACTGCCTTGCTGAACCTGTAGCTTTTCAGAGTGGCTGTGATTTGACTAGAGCACATCGTGTGTGTGTGTGTGTGTGTGTGTGTGTGTGTGTGTGTGTGTGTATACCTGCTTCCTCTCTCTGTAGCCCAATGTAGAAGTCTAGGCAGGCTGGGTTTATGCTATCTACAGTCTTCCCCACTTTTGTGCCCCAGAACCTCCATGCCTCCCAGCATAACACTGCTCACTGCTAGTATTCTAGGAATGGGGGAATCCCCCATCCAACAAGGGGAAAAGAGGAAGATTTGCTCCAGCAAGGTTCCAGATGGCTGATGGACCGTCCACTCAGGTGGGGTGACTAGCAGGGGTGAGGAGAACATGGACAGCAGTAGGCTGAGGAGAAGATGACTGTGGGTAGGTGTTTGCCTTGCCCCGGGGTTGACCCAGGTTTGATCCCCAGCACCATACAGTCACTAAAGCCCTGCAAGGAGTGATCCTCGAGGGGGGAATAAGCCCTGAGCACTTTCAGGTGGGGTTCCCCTAGTCCCCCCCAAAATGTCCAATGTGGGGAGCGACTGGGGAGCACTGTTATGGAGAGTGACGGTGCCTGGGAGGATGAGGGCTGTGCAGGGAGGAGGGAGACAGGGCTGGTAGCAACAGCCCCCACAATCCTTTCACTGAAGTTGAGATGGCAAAGGTGCCAGCAGGTGATTAAGGTGACCCAGAGGTGGGGTGGGGGCTCCCCCAGGCAACAGGCTCTGTAGGGGATGGTGGCGTCTAGATGGGCAGCGATATGGGTTAATGACAGAGGCGAAAAACCCTGGAAGGCAGGGCGGCTCCTCCTGCCGCGATCGTAAAGCATGAGGCAGGAATGGCGAGTGTCACGAGAAGCCAAGGTGACAGGGGAGGGCCGGGGACCTACAGGTGAGCATGGACGCCATTGTGGGAGATGGCGGCAGTCGGCGCGAGATGACAAGAATCACGAACTCGATTTAGGAATAGGGAGGGTTTCCTGAACGAGAAAGAGCAATAAGCGACACGAAAAGGGAGGCGACGGAGACAGACGGACAGAAGCGAGGAAAATAGCTGATGCGACGCGAGTGGAGTGGGGACGATTTCAGCAGGATGTCATCTAAGGGGAGGGAAAGCGACATTCAAAAGGCGGGGGACGACAGAAGCGGTGGGATGCATTACAGATGGAAGAACAGCACGAGGAAGGCAGCCGAGTGGCTGCGCCTCCAGCACGCACAGTACCTGGGCTCCGCTTCCCGCACTCTCGGACCCAGCCCAGCGCGCACCTTCGGCGCTGCCGCTGGGGGTGGTCCCGCCCCCGGGATCCCGCGCGCAGGCGCAGCTCCGCACCTCCCGGCAGGAGGGGGACCTGATGAGCGCCTTTCCCATTGGCCGCGCCCCTCGCGAACGGGGCGGGAGCAAGAGCCTGGGAGGTGTGGTCACGTGACCCCTGGCACCGCCCGCTCGCTGGTGGCGGGCTAGAGTGGCCGAGGGTGGAGAGCCCGACTTCCTGTGCCGAGGGCGGGGCTTCCGGGGCTGGTAGTCCAGGCCGAAGCCGGGGAGTGCGGCGGTTGGCAACGCGGCCGGAGGGGGCGGGCTGCACGAGTGGGGCGCGGGCCAGCAGTGCCAGGTGAGGCGCGGGCCGGCGGCGGTGGGACCCGGCCGAATGCAGCGGGGAGGGCTTGGCGTCCGGGGCTCGGCGTGAGAGCGGGGAGCTAGAGCCGGCTTTCTCCGAACCTTAGTTTCTTCCTCTGAGCAACGGGATGGGGGGGCCGGGGGACGGTGTCAGAATCTTCCTGTAGCATCTCGCTCCTACTTTGGGGTCGGAGCGCGAAGTCAGCTCGTGCATGTTGGAGCCCCTGGCCCTCTCCTGCACCGCTGTTGTGTGGATGCAGGGGTGACGTCGCTTGCAGCTTGAGGTGGAGGAATGGCAGGCTTGGGAGCCGGTCGATTTCGGATGCGAGTCCCAGCTTCGCTTTAGTGGCCGTGAGCCTGTGCCTTCTCCTCTCTGGGCCTCCTTTCCCCCAACTCTGCAGAGAGGGGTAGCGGTTACAAAATCAAGAATCAATGCGAGTGATGGAAACAAGCGTCAAGCGTGTGAGAAAGCCTGGGGGCGTAGCCCACCCTGGAGTGCGCGGCTCCCCCAGTGATTTCTTCCAGCCGGACCGACCGCAATAGGAAGCATTTGTGAATTGGGGATGGGCAGATCGCCGCTTCATATTGGGCCGAGTTTGCGGAGAGTCCGTGAACTGTTAGATGCTTTCTTTTTCTTTAAAAGCCACTCCTGCATCGGATTGCGCGTTAGAGCTTTGCAGTTGAGTGACTTGGTTTGTGCGCATGTGAAGCCCTGAGTTTGATCTCTCGCACCACAAAGAATCAAAATAAAAGCAATGAAGAGAAGTCAGAAGTCAGTGGTGTATTTTCCTCCTGCCATAACTAGAAGGAGGAAAACTTAGATTGCTCTCCTAATCAGGAAATTTTTTTTGGGGGGGGGTCGTCACACTTGGCGATGCACAGGAGATAACTCCTGGCTCTGCACTCAGGAATCACTCCTGGCGGTGCTCAGGGGACCATATGGGATGCTGGGGATCGAATGTGTGCAAAGCAAATGCCCTACCCTCAGTGCTATCGCTTCAGCCCCAAGTCAGGAAATTTTTGTTGCCGGATGTGCAAAGAGGAACACTTAGGTGAAACAGAGTGGAAACAGCGCTGCCTATTAGGCTGGAGACATTCCGGAGGGGAATTGGGAGGGACACATCTGGTGATGCTCAGGGCTTACTCCTGCCCCTGTGCTCAGGGATCACTCCTGGTGGGGCTGGGAGCACTATATGGGATGTTGGGAATCATACCCTTCTCAGCTGCGTTGCAAGGCAAGCACCTTGCCCGCTGTCCTGTCACTCTGGCCCCTAAGGAGACTAGCTTGTGGGTTGTGGTTCCCGGTTGTTGGGTGTCCTGTCAGGTTAAACTTAGACTGCCCCTGCTCTCCTTTGGCATACGACTGCAGTGACTGACCTGCCTTGTTCCCTCAATCACTGAAGATTGTTCTATTTCATCCCGAGCACACACATGGCTCTCGGCATCTTTCCAGCATTGCCCCGAAGGTTTGGTGCAGCAGAATGCCATGAGTTCCTCTGACCACTTTATCATTCTTGTTTCATGATTGATGGACCATGAGATCCTTAAAAGGTTTAAGTTACTCGCTGTAGGCTCAGGGCCCAAAGGTGGAAAAATTGGACCCGGGGAGATAGAGTGTGATGATAATTCTGCCTGTGGGAGCTAGAGGATTAACCCTTGACACTGCATGATCCCTTGAGCTCTGCCAGATGTTGCCCAAAGCAACCAAATAAAAATAAAGTCATAGGACTGGAGTGATAGTCCTGCGGGGAGGGTGTTTACCTTGCACAGGGCTGACCCTGGTTCAATCCCCGGCATCCCATATGATCCCCATATGAGTCTGCCAGGAATGATACCTGAGCGCAGAGCAGGGAGTAGACCACTGGGCATTGCTGTGTGTAAATCAAAGAACAAAAAAAATAAAGTCATGAAATTAAGATTTGGACTATTTTTTTTTTTTTTTGAGTTGGTGTGTCCTGGGACACCACCAAGGGACTGACTAACGGGTCTGAGCAGGGTAATTCTGTTATCCATTCATAATTATTGTCATCTTCTCTGTTCAGAATGTCAGCGCTGGCCCTGGGCTTTTAATGGTGATGAGAGGAAACTGAGTCAAGTGGGAGCCGTGCAGCCTGGGGACCTGGCACTAGTACGTGGAGGCCTCTGGTAAGGAGGGACCAGAGCCTGGCCCACGAGCCCCTCGCCGCCTCACACTGACCCGGGTCCAAGCCCCAGCCCTGCCACATGGGAACCTGTCACAAAGGGGTCTGTCTTGCTGTCCCCTTCTGCAGGCGGTTCTGAGGCCTCCAGAGGTTTGTGTTCACCTGATGCTGGCTGGTTCACAGGCAGCCAATAAGGCCTCCAGTGGGGGTATCGGAATCAGGGAGAACTTGTTTGGGAAGCCCAGGGCAGCTGCTGTGGATGTAGCATTTGGCAAATGGCCGCACCTGGGTGAGTCAGTTTTTCACCCTCTGAAATGGGGCTAATTGGCATCCTCCCTCTGGAGGAGTCTCCGGAGATGGGAAGCAGACTTAGGGGCACCTTTGGGGGAGGGGCTGAGTTTCTGTCCCAGGACAGGGACCCACAGTTGTGCCACTTGTTCCAGTGGCAAAACACAGAAAGGAAGTGGATCTCAGGGGCCTCCGGGGGCCAGACCAGGGCCATGCTGTTCGGCCTGTGATGGATTAGACATGATGCAGAGGCTGGAGAAGGGCGGGTGATTGCTGGGGTGGGGGGAACCTTGCTCTGGGGGACACAGGGAAAGCCCTAGAACAGCAGGGAGCTGAGTGGGGATGCAGGGCAGGAGAGAAATACTCTGGGCCCCCATGACATTGTGCGTGAAAATGGGGCAGTTGGGTAGGACAAGGAACCCCCTGTAGGGCAAGAGCTATGCCCCTGGAAAGAAGCCCGGCTCGTCTTCTGATGTTGCTCATGTCTGCACTGACCCATTTCACAGATGGGACAATGAGGCCTGGGCCAGCACAGTGACTTGCTGAGTTCACACAGCTAATAAGTGGCAGAGCCAGATTTGAACCCTTCAGTGTCTTTACTACATCAGCCTGGACTGGGGGATTGGGAAGGGCTGAGGTGTGTGAGGGGAGACAGGTAGATGCTGGGGCCCCAGGGGCGGGGAGTAGGAGCTGAGGTTACAGTGGGCGGGGCTGAGGGACAGGGACTGTGGGAGGGGAGCAGGTGGGGCGGTGTGGTCCGGAGGTCTCTGAGGGTCTGAGGGCGTGTGCCCATCTTATCTCAGTGAGGGCAGGTCCCCCTTCCTTCTCGGAGGCCCCTCCTGATCCCATGCCCTGACACCCCCCTCCCCACCCTGCCCCTACAGGCTTTGGTGCCTAGAACATGCATCTCCTAAAGCTGCTCGCAACGGCTCCTCTGGACCCCCATTCACTGGTGCCGGCCCTGCCCCCCACCCCCACGCCCCAGAGACCAGCCTCCCTGGTTTCAGCTCCCCCCAGATCCCCAACTTTTAGAATTGTGCCTCACACCTGCGGGGTCCCAGCAGCGCCCCGCTCCCATTTCTGAAGGAATGAAAAAGTGGGTGTTTAAGGAGAAAGTTTGAACAAGCGTGTCCTCCCGTCCACCCTGCACTCCCCCCAGCAGAGGCCTGTGGAGGGGCGCTGGCCCCGGCAGCAGGGCTGGTGGCAGGGCTGACAGCCTGCCAGCTGTTCTGGGCTATTCCTGGGCTGTGAACCCCCAGCCTGGGCATGCTCCCCTGGCCTGGTGACAGCGGGCAGCAGCCGCAGAGGGATGAATGTGCGGCCGGCGGCCGCTCAGGGGCCGCTTCCCCAAATCTCTTTTCTTTCCAGGCTCCCGGGAGCAGCAGCGGGGCCAGGGGACGATGGTCTCTGTGACAATGGGTGAGTGTGTGACCTTCTCTTGGGGGTGGAGTGGGGGGGGCTCTTTACCCGAAGACCTTTTGAAGGGTGGGGGGAGGGCTCCTGGGTCACTGGCAGGAACAGCTGCGCTTAGGGTGTGGGGGCAGGGCCGGTCCTCCCGGCTGTCCAGTGTGGCCTCAAGATGGGGGCCCAGGGAGCTGGCAGATCGCCTGTCGGGTCCCCCAGGGCTCAGGAGCTTGTTGATCTCTTGTCAGGTCGCCTGGGGCAGGGAGTGAGTGCCGCTGCGTCCAGGCTGTCTTCCTGGGCTGTCACTGGGAGGGTGTGGGACCTGGTGCCCAGGTTTCCACACAGCGGCTCCTCCTAGCCCGAGTCCCACATTCTCCTACTGCTCTGTGCTCAGACTCCCCTGAGATTGTGTACGCAGAAGCAAGCCCTGTTGAGAGGTACTCTCCCTGATTCCTTTCCCTTGATGCCCAGAAGCAGGCGGTGGTGGTGCTCTCTGGGGTAGAAGTCAGTAGGTTGCGCGGGATTGAGCCCCAAAGGAATACGAGGTGGAGTTGGGATCGAGGGAGAGGGGATACCGGAAATTTTTAATCCTGGTGCTCAGCGACACCGGGTGTGATTGGTTTATGAAAATCTCTGGGGCTGGAGTGATAGCACAGTGGGTAGGGCGTTTGCCTTGCACTCAGTCGACCCAGGTTCTATTCCCAGCATCCCATATGGTCCCCTGAACACCACCAGGGGTAATTACTGAGTGCAGAGCCAGGAGTAACCCTTGTGCATTGCCGGGTGTGACCCAAAAAGCAAAAAAAAAGAAAAAAGAAAAAAGAAAAAGAAAATCTCCGCATCTGTGCTCAGGCATCATAGTTCAGGACAGAGGCATTTTTATTCCAGTGGTTGTGTGGGCATTATTCCAGGACTGGGGAGAACTGAGGCTGGAGCTGGCTCGCCTCCTGGGAGCTTATTTCTTGGCCCAATGAAAAGGGGTGATTCCCTGCAGTTTTCGGGGAACCAGACAGGTCTGGGGCCTCAGCCATGTAAGGCGAGTGCTCAACTGTGGAGCGACATCTCTGGCTCCCTTCCCAGTTTTGTTTTCTTTAAAGCCAAGTGCCCAGGGCCGGAGCCATAGCACAGAAGGTAAGGCACTTGCTTTGCACGCAGCCAGCCCTGGTGTGATCCCCAGCATTCCATATGGTCTCTGAAGCCCCACCAGGAGTCATTCCTGGAGCCCAGAGCCAGGAGTAAACCCTGAGCAGTGCGAGGTGTGGCCCCCAAACAAATGTTCAAAGTGAAGTCTTCAGGCTTGGAGGCCAAGATACAGAGTATCACCTGGAGGGCTGAGCCCCTCACCAGCCCCTCCCTTCTCCAGATGAAGTGTAGGACTGCTCTGTTCTCCCTCCCCCTCTTTTCTTTTAGGTTGGGGAGGTCACACCTGGTGGTGCTAAGGAGTGACTCCTGGCTGTACTTGGGGGACTATATAGGGTGCTAGAGTTTGAACCCGGCTTGGTTGCCTGCGAGGCTAATGCCCTCCCCTCTGTACTGTCTCTCTGTGTTCTCTTCCTACCACCTGGTCATCGCAGTGCTACACCTTGCTTAAGTTGTCCACCAGTAAAAAACATTTTTGGCTTTTTATTTTGTTGGTTTATGGTCCGTACCCAGTAGTGCTCAGGGTTTACTCCTGGTTCTGTGCTCCGGGGTCCCTCCTGGCAGGGCTTTAGGGGACCCTGTGTGGTTCCAGGATTGGAACTGGGGTTGGCTACGTGCAAGGCAAGTACCTTAACTTCAGCACTATCTCTCTGGCTCCCGTGAAAACCCTCCTGTCCAGTGGTATTGAAGTAGGTGAAGCAGCAGATGGGGTGGGGACGGGTCTCTGTGTATCTGTGTTCGTTTGCAGTTCCCAGGTTCTTCAGGGTTTTTTTTTTTTTTTTTTTTTTTTTTTTTGCTTTTTGGGTCACACCCAGCGATGCACAGAGGTTACTCCTGGCTCTGCACTCAGGAATCACCCCTGGCAGTGCTCAGGGGACCATATGGGATGCTGGGAATTGAACCCGGGTTAACTGTGCTATTGCTCCAGCCCCAGTTCTTCAGTATTTTCAAGAATTAAAATATTGAGTATTAAAGATGCTCAGACTCAGAATTGGGAAGTAGAAACGTTTATTGGAAAGCAGAAAAGAAAAGAAACTCCACAAGCGGGGAGGAACTTAGTATGGGACTAAGGTAAGAGTTCTGTGGAGGCCTCTTTAAGGGCTCTTTGCATTCCTTATCGGTTGGCAAGTGTTTACAAAAGATGCCAGAAAATCCCAGGGGTGTGTCGCTGGTCTGAATCTCTCTGGGCATTCCTACCCCTTATCTCAGTCTCTCGTCGACTAGGCTCCAGGACAGAGTTTTATGATCCTGGAAATCTCTAGGAATGCTGGGGCAGAACTTTGGAAATGAAATATGTGTCAGATTGATGGAAAGGTGGTAAGAGAAAACTGGTGAAAATTCGCAAGGTGAAACTCTGCCAGGCCTAGTTGCTCATTATCTTCGTTTCCCTGTCAGCCTAGACTCCAGGGCAGAGTTTTATGTTCCTGGGAAGCCCCCAGAATGCTGAGACAGAACCTTGGGGGTGGGAAATGTGTGTTGGGTTGATGGGGGAGAGATGGAACATCTGGAGAGAGGAAACTGTGGCTTCCTCTCTCACTGACAAGGGAAACTGAGGTTTCCTCTTTCAGTATCTGCTTTGAACTCAGAAAGGGAGTCACACTGGGTGGCCTTCTGGGTCTGGGTCCATTGGTGACCGTGGTGTCCAAGCATCCTCTGCGGCCCTGGACTGGGGGTACTCCCCATGTTTGGCCCCTGGTGGTCGCCACATGGTAGATGCTGCGACTGCAGAGCTTGTCTGGGACCCTACATGAGAGCCCCTGGCTCCGTCTGGAGGATGAGGAGCTACAGGGCGGTGGATGCTCTGCCCAGGCTGATCTGGCCAGACAGGCCAGGGTCAGCTTGAAGGAGGCCTGCAAGGGCCGGCAAGAGTGCAGGGGTCAGACACTTGCCTTGTGTGCAGCTGATCCCAGTTCCATCCCTGGCACCACTTGGACCCCACTCAGCACCACAGGGTGTGGCTCAAGCCCACCCTCTCCTGCAAAAAAGGAAAGTGACACCCAAAAGGCCCAGGACGTCCGCAAGGGCCACCTCCTTGTGCTCACCCGCATCTGCTGCAGCCGGTGATGGCGGCCTGGGGCCAGGTGGCCTTTGCTGCGCTGGACCGGGCCCTGCGATCTGTGTTTCTCAGCCCCTGACCGCTTCAGTATTAGACTCCCCACTGTCCGAGGGCACTGAACTTCAGCATAGTGCAAGCACTCAGCAACGAGAACCATCTGTTGTCTTAATCTGAGTGTGAGCCACCAGTGGTCTGCACTGGCCAACGGCGCCTGTATGCTCAAGGCTCCCTGGCCCATCTTGGTCACGTGGCACCGTGAGCCTGGCACCCCTGTGGTCTCTTGGATCAGCTGCCTGGGAGGGACTTGAGCTTGTGTTTTGGGTTTTGCTGGGGTTGGGGTCGACTATACCCAGCAATGCTCACAGGTTCCTCCAGGTTCTGCACTCAGGAATTATTCCTGGTGGTACTCGGGGACCCGAGGGGATACTGATGATCGAACCCAGGTCGGCCAATGGCAAGGCAAATGCCCTCCCCACTGTGCTGTCATTCTGGCCCCAGGACTGGGGACTGAGACTATGGTCATTTTTCTGACCACAGCAGAGTCACGCGTTGCCCAAGGTGCCTTGGAGGCTGAGTAGTTTGCAGTATCTCCTAAGGCTGCCAAAGGCCCTGAGCGAGCACTTGCTGGCCTGCAGCCCTGAGGAAGCAGAGCCAGTGGGCCTGGAACCCTGAGCTTGGCCTCCTGTGCTCTCCTCACCTGCCCGCACTGGACCCGGTGGTGTGGGCACTGACTGACGTGTGGGCGCCCCCACTCTCTGCCTCTGGCCTTGGGTGGGTCCAGGATAGTCTTCCTGTCATGCCCATGCTGATGCTGACCAAGGGGACACTGCTTGCCAGGTTCTGTCCAGGACAGGGCAGTGAAGAGGGTTTTGGCATTTTGCTTTTTGGCATTTTGTTTTCTGGGGTGGAAGGCTGGGCATGCTCAGCATTGAACATGTGGACGTCGTGTGCTTGGTTTAGCTGCAGCAGTTTCTTGAACGGAGTAAGGGCAGTAACGGGGTCTGTTCCCACTACAGCCACTTCCGAGTGGATTCAGTTCTTCAAGGAAGCCGGCATCCCTCCGGGCCCTGCTGTCAACTACGCTGTGATGTTCGTGGATAACAGGTGAGGGGCCTGGGGGCTGGCCCCTGCTGGGAGGGCTGTGGGGTGTGGGTTGAGGGTGGCCCCCCCGTGACCTCTCTGGCCTGGCAGGATCCAGAAGAGCATGCTGCTGGACCTCAACAAGGAAATCATGAATGAGCTGGGTGTGACCGTGATCGGCGACATTATTGCCATCCTCAAGCATGCCAAAGTGGTGCACCGCCAGGTGGGGTGCTGCTTGTTCCTCTGGGGCCGTGGGGGGTGGGACTGGGGGTGAAGGAACACTGGAGAGCCCACAAGGGACTTAACTATCCTGGACAGGCAGATCTGGCTCCAGGGCCGCTGCCCTTGTTTACTGTGTGATATCAGACTTTTTGCCTAACCTCTCTGAGCCTCAGTTTCTGGCCCTGTGGCATGCAGATAGGTAACCCTATTTAGCAGGATGGGCCCAGCATGACATTATATTAAGTATCCCTTATTAGTCCGGACTGGCCATAGGACCTGAGTTAAGTTTCTCTGTAATCATTTTTATTCTCCTTATGATAGTTATCTCAGGGACTTAGTAAAAAAAATGGTCATTTCATCTTGGACTCTGTTTCCCCTGACCCCCTTGTTTTGGGAACCACGCCTGGCAGTGCTCAGGGTGTGATACCAGGGATCAGCTTGGGGTCAGCAGTGGGCAAAGCAAGCAGGCACCTTACCCGCTTGCATGTTTCTGCGGCTCTTGGACTGTCCTCAGACCAGCGGCCTTAGGCTGGTGATCTCACCCCTGGGCTGTGTCAGCCACCCCCCAGCCTGCGCATGTGGCTCAGAGCCAGCCCCCAGGGACATGTTTGTCGTGTTATCACAGCCACACTTGGCATGTTTTTGTGCGTGGCCCGGCCAGCCTGTCTGCGTGTGAACTGCGGGGTGTATGCGTGTGTGTGCGTGTATGTGTGTGCGTGTGCGTTCGGAGCCAGGAGTAAGCCTTGAGCATCGCCAGGTGTGGCCCCACCCCCCCAAAAAAAAAGAAAAAGAAAAAGTATATATGTAGGAGAGCATGTAGCTGCCCCCGCCCCCTCTCAAAGGTCCCATCCTCCACATCACATTTGGTCCCTGAGTACCTCTGGGTGTGGCCCCAAACTCAATCCAAACCAAAGGAAGGAACTTAAGATACATAATAACATAGTTAATCATTTGAAAACATACATTGTAAAACATTTGTTATATATTGTGGGTTACCCTCCCCCTGCCCCCTCCAACCCCAGGCTGCCTGGGGTCACTCCTGGCAGTGCTCAGAAGGTCTTGAGGACTCAGGTCCACACACAGGCAAGGCACTTGCCTGACTACTTGAGCCACACCTGGCTGTGCTCAGGCCCTACCTCTGTGCTCGGGTCACCCCTGGCAGTACTTAGGGGACCACTTGGGATGCTGGGGATTGAACCCAGGTTGGCCTCGTGCAAATCAATCTCCCTCCACGCCACACTATGGCTCTGGCCCTGCCTGCTTGGTAACTGACCGACGGTGGACGGTGTCCATGTCCCACCAGCGCCCTCTTTCTGTTCCTGGGTCCTCGCATTTTCTCCCCACGTCCCCGTGGCCTGTCTAGCTTCGTGACAGTGCCCTTATCTTCCCAAGCTTCTGGTAACCTTGCAGAGGACGGGCGGGGTGTCTCCGGTTCCCTCTGCCCCCCAGCTCCCTTTTTGTGGCTTAGATCACCGGGTTCCCCCACAACATGCACTTGTGCCCATGACCATTCGGGCCCTGTGGTCTTGCAGGACATGTGCAAAGCGGCCACTGAGTCTGTGCCCTGCAGTACCAGCTCTCTCCCGGGTGACAGTCGCCGTGGCGCCTCTAGTGGTGAGTCCCTTTCCCCTCCATCCGGGCCACGTCTGTGGGTATTGCAGAGGCATCCAGGGCCACTTCATTTAGGGAGCACTTAGTCAGGAAGTAAGCGGCCCTCTACACACCCCAATTTGCCTAGGTGGGCGTTCAATTCTAGAAAGTTCTGTGAATCCTGAGGCAACCGATAACCCTGGGCTGTCTCCCATGGGCCCCATCACAGCATCCTCCCCAGCTGACCCGCGTGTCACCCCCCGCCGTGGGGCTCTGTGGAGACACCCCCCTCCCAAGTGTGACTTGTGGCTTCATTAGCACCCCTGTTGGGATGAAACTCGTGGGCCCCCCCTCCACCCCGTATTCTGCCTGCGCCCTGGGTCAGTCCCCTCTCCCTCTGCAGATTGTGCTCCTCCCATGGTGCTCCAGGCCTGGCTACAGGACCCTTCTAAGGCCTGGTGACTGCAGGGCACTGGACTCTGCCTTCAGTCTGTCTGGTGGGGTTGCCTTTTGGGGACCTTGGATGAGTTGGAAGCATGTATGCTCAGGAAGGCCCCCCCTCCCACCCCCAAATGTCACCGAGAGTCCAAGGGGAAAGCAAATGTGAAGGTGGTTGGGCTTGTTCAGATGCGGGGGCAGCACCACAGTGAGGACGCCTGCAGAGGGCGCAGAGACTCGGAGCCGACCTAGGGGCTGTCGGGATTCCTGGCACCCCTTTGGGATAGGCGAGGGGAGGGCGGGGCTCAGGAAGGGTTGGGACTGAGAAGTAGGAACATGTGGGGTTGATTCCGGTGTGGGGAGAGTCCCGGTGCCCTGGCGGCTCCGTCCCTTCGTCCTGCCCTCCCGGGGCCCTTTCTGACCAGACTTCTTCCCTCCTGACAGCTGCCTCCCGGATGATCGCCAACAGCCTGCACCGCGACTCCCCGGCCGGGACACCCCCACGGCGGCCGGACACCAGCACCTCCAAGATCTCCGTCACTGTCTCCAACAAGATGGCCAGGAGCGCCAAGGCTGCTGGTGAGGGGCTGTGGGGGCTGGGGCATGTCCTGGCACTGGGAAGGGGTGCCAGGTGTCAGAGCTGGCATCTTGCACGTGCAGGGCAAGCGCCCTACCTAGAGCCACAGGACTGTAAAGATTTGTGAAGGCCGCCTGGGCTCCAGGGCATTTGAGCGTGGTCACTGCACAACCTGGACCCTGCTTTCTGCTCCTGTACCCGGAGGTTGGTGGCATCTTCCCTGGTGGGGAAGGTCTTAGAGGTGGTGTAGGTATACCGTCTCCTGCCTGTCTGCTAAGTACTTCTAAGTACTTGCCTTCAGCTTTTTCAGGGTTTAATTTTTTTTTTTTTATTTGTTTTTGAGTCACACCTGGTCTATGCTCAGGGGCTACTCCTGGCTCTGCTCTCAGGAAGTACTCCTGGCAGTACTCTGCTGTGGGGACCATATGAGATGCCGGGATCAAATCAAGGGTGGCTGTATGCCAGGAAAATGCCCTGTACTTTCTCTCCGGCCCCCCTCGTACATGGCTTTGACAAAGTTTAAGTGCTGTACTATCTCTCTGGCCCCCCTCGTACATGGCTTTGACAAAGTTTAAGTGCAAAATGCTGTAACGTCTACCATAGGGGATTCAGTCCTACTGTTTCGTTTCGCAGCCACACTGGCATTTCTTAGGGCTTACTCCTAGCAGAGCTGAGGGAATGTATGAGATTCCAGGAATTGAACTCAGGTTGGCCATGATATACAAGTGCCTTATCCCTGTACCATCGCTCCAGTCCCATTGTGTGTCTTTTTTTTTTTTTTTAATGTGGTTCGGAGCGAGAGTACAGCAGGTAAGGTGCTTGCCTGACACAAGCCTGACCCATGTTATGGTCTCCTGAGCATTGCCAGGACTGATGCCTGACTGCACAGCCAGGAGCACTGCTGGGTGTGGTTCGAACAGAAAAAACTTTGGCCACAGCTAGTGATACCTTGGGGACCATGTGTTACTTGGGACTGAACCCAGGACTGGGGCATGCAGAGGGCTCCAGTCTTTGGCGCTGTCTCTCCTTGATCGATTCTGTGGCCTGGGGTTGGGTGGGTGCAGATTGGGCTATAAGGGCTATGCTTCGAGGCTTCTCTTGGCTCAGTGCGCAGGGGGCATTTCTGGCAGTGCTCAGGGGACCACTGGCGGGGACTGAGTGGAGGCTGACCACATGCAAAGCAAACTCTCTCTCTTTTTTTTGCTTCAAATTATTTATTTTATGTATCATTTGTCACATAGGTTTTAATGTTTTCACCTTAAGATATATTTTTTTTTATGTAGGCGTACTGCTATTTATTCTGCCACTGATTAGGCTGATTGAATTGAAAAGCAAATTCTCTTAAGCCCTCTCTTACCCTCCTGGCCTTCCTCAATTTTTTTTTTTTTAAATAAAGTGGGTATAGGGCTGGAACGGTAGTACAGCAAATAGGTCACTTGCCTTCCATGCAGTCAAATTGGGTTTGATTCCGGATATCATGTGTGAGCCCTGCCAGGAAGGACCCCTGAGCATTTGCTGGGTTTGGCCCCAAAGAAACAAGAAAAAGTGGGCGTAGCATTTGGGGGATGTTGCTCAGCCTTAGGGCACTTTCCTGGCATTAGTGAAACCCTGGACATGGTTCCCAGCACTGCTGGAGTTCTGGAATCTTCCCCCAGTGCCCGAGGATTGTTGGGTTGGGGGTGGAGGGTACCCGGAGGCCGGGGACGCTGAGTGCCGGCTGCGTCCACACAGCTGAGGTTTCATGGTTGTCATGGGGAGGGATGACCGGGGAGAGACGGGTCCAGGGATGCAGACACATGGGGATTTAATGTCCCTGCATTAGCCCAGGCCCGGCGGGAGGAGAGCTTGGCCGGTCCCACCAAGCGGCGACGGGTCACAGCAGAGATGGAGGGAAAGTACATCATCAACATGCCCAAGGGCACCACCCCACGCACCCGCAAGATCCTGGAGCAGCAGGCGGCGAAAGGTAGCGGCCTGGCAGCACCTGTTCGTGCTGCACTGTTGGGGCTGGCTTGGCACCTCCTTCCACGCATGCGCAGAGAGGAGGAGCCGCGTGGGGTGGGGCCGAGGTTGGCGCTGAGAGTGTTCTGGCTGCAGGCCTTCCCAGTGCCTTTGTGCCTGCTTAGCCCACCATCAGACATGACAGGTGAGGGCTTGTCTGAGAGGAGAAGGGCCGCCTGCCACCTGGCTGCATTAGCGACCCCTGGCACCCCCCACCCCTGGGCCATTGGGAAATTAGTTTCTAGTTGCACTTTGTGTGCCAGGGCTAGAACACACTTACCCACAAGGGGACCGGGGTGGGGGGTGTATTTCACTGTTAATGATTCCTGTACCACAGCGTGGCCACGTGGACCAGGAGCGATCCCAGAGCACAGAGCCAGGAGCAATGCCTGCGCACCATGGGGCATGATCCCAGAACCAGAAAAAAAATTAAAAAGGGGGGGCTGTAGGCCTAGTGGGGGGGGAGGCTCCGGGCTTCATGGAAGCAGACAGGACCATGGCCCCCTCTCCTCACCTCTCCCCCATTTTCTTTCCTCTTTTTCTTTCTTTGTGTGCTGCACCTGGCGGTACTCAGTACTCACTCCTGGCTCTGTGCTCAGGGCTTTACTCCTGGTGATTCTCAGGGACCATCTGGGCTGCCAGGGATCAAACTGGAACCCACAGTGTGTGAGGCATATACCTTAGCCGCTGTACCATCTCTCTGGCCCAGGCCTTTTTTTCTATTTTTTTTCCTGAGGGATTTTGGGCCACTCCTTGCTGTGCACAGGGCCTATTCATCGCTGTGTGCTCGTTTGCGACCCCTGGTGGTGAGATTCTAACCAGCCGCGTTCAAGGTGGCTGCCTTAGCCTGACTCTGTTCTCTCTCTGGTTATGCTTCCTTAGCCACAGGTAGCACCACTGCAGAGTGGTCGTTCTAGATCTTTCTGAGGCCTTTTTACACCAGTGTGTGTGTGGGGTCACGTTTATATTTTTTTTTCTTTTGGGTCACACCTGGTGATGCTCAGGGCTTACTCCTGGCTCTGCACTCAGGGATCACTCCTAGTGGTGCTTGGGGGACCCTATGGGATGTCGGGGATCAAGCTCGGGTTGGCTGTGTGCAAGGCAAACACCCTACCCACTGTACTGTTGCCCCTATCCAATGTCTGTCTTTGTAACCCCTATTCCTGTCTGATTCAGTTGTGTGCCTGTCTTCCTCTCTCTGGTTGGGGTCTTGTTACCCCAAATCAGAGACCCAGGACCCAAAGAAATGAGGGGAGAAAGCAAGGCCCAGAGCTGGTTGCGCATGCACAGAAGCACGAGCACGCACATATGCATGTAAGCATGTACACACACACACACACACGCACTCACATGTTTGCGCACTCACACGCAGGAACACACACACATGCGCACGCACGCGCGCACACACGGCATGGTTCGTGAACATGTACTGAGGTCCAAGAAAGAAACAGCAGACACAGTGTAAGGCCCAGGAGAGGGGAACGCCGCGTGGGGCACTCTGGGAGATGCTGGTTCAGGCCCACAGTGGCCAGTGGTGAGGACCCGGGGGCTCTGCGCGCCAGCTCGGGGTCTGTCGGCTGACCCTCGGTTCCCGCGCAGGCCCTCAGCGCACGTCTGTGTTTGACCGTCTGGGTGCAGAGACCAAGGCGGACACCACGACGGGGAGTAAGGTGAGTGCTGGGGCCGGGACATGCTGGACTTTTGGGTTCTTCTCGGAAGGGGTTCCGGGCACTTCCCGCCTGCCAGTCCTCGCACCTCCCTTTCCAGCCTCAGTTTCCTTCTTTGCACTGACAATTTCCCTGTCTGTCGTTGGTGCTCAGGAGCCCTTCCCACTGCCAGGGCGCCAGAAACCTACATATCCCGTGTCCCCCCTCCCCCCCCCGTCTCCCCCCCCCCCCCGTCCCCCCCGTCCCCCCGCCCCACGGGGTCCTGTTTCAGGTGGGGCCCTTTCACCTGCCTCCAGGGCTCATGACCCGCTTTTGTCACCACCTCTCCCTCCCCAGCCCCTGCCTGGCGCCCACATGGCTCCTCCCCCAGACTCCTGCAGCCCATGGACAGCCGGTGATGGGGTACAGGCTACTCCCAGTCCAGCTGGGCCCTGCCACCAGGGTCACGCTCTCTGACTTGGCCACCTCATTTTAATCCTTTGCACCTCTGTTTCCTCCTCTGTTGGATGTTGCGTGAGTGGTGGTGAGGGCTCAGTGAGACACTCCTGGTGCTGGAAGATCCTTATTTTCAGTTTTGGGGCCACTCCCAGCCATGTGGGAGTACGTACGGGGGCATGGGGGGCAGAGGGGGCATGTGCCAGGGGTTGAACCTGGGGCTCCTGCATAAAATACCTGCACTTGGTCCTCTGCGCCCGTTCCTGGACCATGGAAGGCTCTGTTTTCTGTTTGCTGGGGCCGGGGGGGGGGGTCACAGGCAGCAGTGCTCAGGGTTGACTCCTGGCTCTGTGCTCAGGGGTCACTCCTGGTTGTGCTCAGGACCAGATGGGGATGAGCCTAGGCCAGCAATGTGTGGCCCCAGCCCTCACCTTCATGGTTCTGCTCTGTTCCCACAGTTCACCGCCCGCCTTTGGCCTCTCCAGGGTCACGAGGGCAGTATTTGGGGGGTGGCCAGGGGCGCAGCATGTAAAGAGGGGGCATGTGGCAGGTGCTTTGTGGCTTTGAGCCTCTTCTGTCCCCCCCTTACCCCAAGAAGCCCATTTCTGGCCCCAGTGATGCCAGGCCTGTTGCCCGTCACTGAGTCACCAGGCAGGGCTGGGTGCCCATTCCGGACTATCTCCTGGGGCCATGGGTGACCTCGTGCAGGATCCAGGGTATCCCCGAGGTGAACCCCCCGAGGAGCCTTCCTCACCTCCCTGTGTCTGCCTCCCGCACAGCCCACGGGGGTCTTCAGCCGCCTGGGGGCCCAGGAGGCCGACGAGGATGCGGCCTGGGACAGCGACAGGGACAGCACTAGCTCCGTACTGCAGTATGCCGGGGTGCTGAAGACGCTGAGCCGTGGCGCCGCCAAAGAGTCCCCGCTGCCTGTCAAGGCCAAGGCCACCAGCTCCGCCCCCGCGGCCCCTGCGCCCACTGCCCCGAGGCGCCTGACACTCCCGGCCCGCACCGGACTGGCCCGGAAGCCAGACTCACTGCCCAAGGTCAGCGTTGTGCAGAGACTGGGCAAGGCTGCCCTCGTGCCCGAGGCCCAGGACAGCCAGGTCACCAGCACCAAGAGTAAGTCTGCAGCTGAGGTCAAGGTCACCATTCAGAGGACAGTGGTGGGGCCCCGGGGCTGTGGCCAGAGCCCGGGCGCCCGCATGGACCACGCGGGTTCTGTGAGCGTGTTCCAGAGACTGGGCCACAGAACCTTCTAGCCCTGCCGGCCCCTCCACTTGGCTCCCACGCCGTCCACCACCGCCACTGCCCTGGACCCGACCCGGTATTTGGGCTCCGAGTTTGATGTGGCAGCAGGCCCAGCTGCTCTGCCTCCATCCCTCTGTCCTCTCTGTCCCTCTGTCCTCTCTTCTCCCCCCTCACCTGGGCCTCTCCCCAGTGCCCAGGGCCCTGTCCTGGCCAGCCCCCACCTCCCAGCAGATCCCCCTCTTGGGCCTGTGGCGCCCCCTGCCCCCCCCCCATTATGAGCTGCCCAAGGGCTCCTGACCTTCCCCGGCCTCCCCTCCCTTCATTGTCCCCCACCCCCCAGGTTTCTCTGTCTTGGCCTCTCTTCACGCTGTTCATTTCTCTTCTGTTTTCTGTCCCTGTGGCAAGGCCCGACTGTCCGCTGTGTCCTGCGCGACCCTCCTGCACTGGCGGCCTCCCAGCGGCCCCCGCGGCGACGGTGGCGTCCGGCTGGTGGAGACCGTTAGAGGGGTGCCCCGACTCTGCCTCCCTGTCTCCTCCCCCGTTCCCTCTCCCTCTGTTCCTCCTTTCCTCCCTCCCTCCCCCTTTCTCTCTCCCTCACTCTCCTCTCTCTCCCTCTCTCTCTCCTTTCTCCCCCTCTCCTTCCCTTTCTCCTCCCCTGTCCTTCTCTCCCCTTTTCTCCCTCCTTCTCTCCCTCCCCTCTCTCCTTCCCCTTTCCTTCCCCCCTTCCCTTTCTTTCTCCCTCCATCTCTCCCTGTTTCTCCCCCTCTCTCACCTCTCTCCCTCTCTCTTCTCCTCCCTCTGTTCGCTCCCTCTCCCTCTTCCTCTCTCCCTCCTCTTCCTCCTTTTCTCTTTCTCAACCTTCTCCCATGGTGGGAGGCAGGCTGGGGGTGCCCCCCCAGAGTCTCCAATAGATTTTTGTGACTTTGAAACCGCTTCCCGCCCCTCCTTGAGGGAGTCTCAGATTGGGGTCCCAGAACTGGGGAGGGGGTTCAGCTCCCAAAGGTCCCTCCTTGCACCCAGCTAAGGGCTGCATCTGCCCAGCCCTGAGTCAGGAGGGATAACGTGGCAGTGGTCACCCCTCATCACCATTCTGCCCCCTGGGGAGACCCCGGCCTCCTGCAGGCCCGATTCCAGCAACTGGGGAGATGCGGGGGAACCATCAGGCCTCTAGATGTTGGGGTGCGAGTGAGGGAGGTGCCGAAGTCACTGCCTGAGTGCCAGGAGCTTGGAGGGGCAGTGTGGGGAGTTGGGGGTCGCAGGAGCCAGTCAGCTGGCTTCCTTACCCAGGTAGGGGCTTTGTGGGATTTGGAGGGTCCTGGGCCAGCAAGTGCCAGGTGGCCGCAGCAGGGCTGAGTGGGGCAGAGCCCAGTGTCCTCCCGAGGGGTGTTCCTGGGCGGTGGGGGCGGGGGGAGAGCCCAGTGGGGGGCTGCTGACAGTGATGGGCCCCCAGATGGCTGCGGGCAGAGGGCAAGTTGGGTTGAGTGCAGCTTTGTGGGGCCCTGGCCCTGCTCTGGGGCTGTGGTGGCCTCTTCCTCGGTGTCCTGGCCAGGGGCTGCCATCCACTAGGTGCCCATCACTTCCAAGAGCTCCCACACGGACCTTTGCCGATTTTATTATTATTATTATTTTTTGGCTGGGGGTGTTGTGGGTTATTTAAAACCTTTGCAGGGGCTTGCAATTTGTCGGGGGAAAAAATCAAGTTGTAAACTTTTTATTACAGATTAAAAATGAGATTCTGCACTTAGTTCTTCAGCGAGGGGTGCGGGGAGCTTCCTGTGTGCTCCATGGTCCCTGGGGAGCAAGGGGTTGGGGTTCGCTCTCCCCAGGAAAGCCCAGGCTAGACACTCCCTGACCCCCAAAGGACGATGTGTGATGGTGAATTCGGAAGTTTCCCGAGCCCGGACTGCAGCCATAGCACAGCAGGGAGGGTGCTTACCCTGCACGTGCCCGACCTGGGTTCGACCTCCGGTACCTCAAGTGGCCCCCAGGCACCGCCAGGAGTGATCCCTGAGCACAAAGCCAGGAGTCAGCCCTGAGTCGGGTATATCCCGAAAACAGAAAAAGAAGATCCAGAGCCCATTTCTTAGGTGGGTGCCCCCGGAGGAGCCTCACACTGACCTTCAGTCCCGTCGTTTTCCCTCTTTTGTGACATCTTTATTGCGGAAACCTGCTCCCTTCACATCGGAGAGGCCCTGTGGACTGACCGTGGCCAGCACTCACAGCTGCGACGCGCTGGGTTAGGGGGTGCAGTTCAGACCCTCCAGCCTCCTCAGCACCCCTGGACACCCCCGCATCCCCGAGGGCCACCTTGCATCTCTCCCCAGATATTTGGGGCCCTGTGCATACTTGGGGCTCCCAGCCTGTCCAGGGTGGGAAGGCGGAGGGAGAGACGACTGGACCCCAGGGAACTGAGAGTGGGCTCTGGAGCACTCTGCAGTCTAGAGACACTCCACAGGGGTGCCTCAACCCTGGCAGCCATGGTGCCTCCCTCTCACCTTGTCAAGCCAGGCCTGTCCTATGCATCTGCCACCATGGCCTTCCAAAATGTTCTCCTGCTTTCTTGGTTTTCAACCCCTTCTGCCACCCTGGGCCCCCTCTGACCCTCTCAAATGAGCCTTCTGGGACTTCATGGCGGTTCCTGCAGGGTCTCACCCCCTAAAGAGTTGCAGCCCCCCCAAAGGTGAGAGTGGGGGCTGCCGTGTGCGGGGGGTGGGAGCACCCAAGTGAGCTGGCCATAGGGTTGAGGAAGGTCATCATAGGCCTCAGGGGATACTAGGGGTCAGCGGGGTCCTCACCCCGTTGCCCCGGGAGACATCCAGGTTCTTTTGGGACAGGGCAGGGGGGTGCAGGCTTCCCAGAGAGGGAATTCAGATCACCTCCAACTTTCTAGGTGGGGGTCTCTAGTCATAGCATCATCATGGAGCACCGGGAGGTGTTGGGGTCATGCCCCCAGCTGCCCCCTACACCTGCCCCCTCTCTGCCCCACAGGCACCCTGCCCCCAGCTCATCAGGGACCCTCCTAGAGAAACATTTCTAGGCTGACACAAGACAAACACGAAACCAAAGGGACAGCACTATGCAGTGGTTTCAGGGGTGCAGGGGTTGGGGGAGCCTTTCTGAGGGGTGCCCACGTGTGCCCATGCACAGCCCCCCGCCCCCAGTCCAGCTGCAGCCTCTGGGTGGGGCGGGGCAGTGGTCAGGAGTAAGCCAGGTGTGGCCCCAAAGACTGGCTCTAAGAAACAAGTGCTTGAGACTTGGGGTGGGGGACCAGGACTCCAGGGTCTGTCTTGCCCTGCCCCTGCGCCAGGTTGTTCCCTTGTTCTGGGCCTTCAGCTGGTTTCTTGGGTTCTGCTGCCTCAGGACAGCTGCGCTGGAGAGTTTCTTGCTTCTGTGTTTTGGGGCTACACCTGCTGGTGCTCAGCGCCTTCTCCTGGCCCTTCACTTGGGGCTCGTTTGCCCCTGGTGTGGTTGAATTGAAGCTGGGTGTCCCACACACAGGCCCTGCACACGGCCCACTAAACCATCTCTGGCTCAGTTGTTTGGTGTCCCTCCCCTTCCCAAACTGCTAAGGGCAATTTGCTGTGCTGGGCACAGAACCTAGGACTCCTGCATACAAAGTGGGTGCTCCAGCCATTGGGCCAGTTCCCTTGTCTGTGTGTTTTGCTTAGTATTCGGGGGACCTTTCATATCAGTATGTAGAATTTATGGGGTGGGGGTTGGACCATACCCAGGGATGCTCAGGAATGACTCCTGGCTCAGTGCTCAGGAGTAACTGAGACCATGTATGATGAGGGGGATTTGAACCCAGGCAGTATGATGCCAGGCAAGCACCATAGCCCTTGCACTCTCTCTCCAGCCCCCCAGTATATGGAGTTTTTAGAAAGAATTTGAGAGCTGGAGAAATAGGCCTTGCAGCACTCCAGAATGCATTTCCTTTGGGGGGGTAGAGAGAGAGTACAGGGGTTAAGACACTTATCTTACATCCCTCTGACCTGGTTCGGATCCCCCAATCACGTATAGTCCGGGGAACACACGGATGGGGGTGGGGGCGTGGGGGTGGGTGTCAGTCCCTAGCACGGAGCCAGGAATAACCTCTAGACATTGATGGGTGTGGCTCGAAAACACTGTTAGTCGTATCTCTCCTTCGGGAGTCAATCGCAGTTACTGTCCCAAAGGTCGGCTGTCCTCCTGGCAGGATATGCTTCTGGGTCCACTGATGCGTTTGGTTTCCTGCAGGTTTCATTTTAGACAGCAGTTCCAAGCCCCGTCCTCCCGCCTGCTGTGGTCTAGCGGGAATGGGTCTTGTGGCGCCATCTCGTGGCAGCTGTGTGAAAAGCACCTGCAGTCTATTCACAGGAGGCTCTCTGGAGACACCTTTCTTGGGGAGCTATTAAAGGCGCCCCAGAGATAGTACATACAGTGGGTAGGGCGCTTGCCTCGCAGCCTGACAACCCAGATCTGATCACTCCATAGGGCCCCCGAGCACAGCCAGGAGTAAGCCCTAAGCACAGCTGGGTATGGCCCCCAGACCAAAAATGAAGTAAATAAGGTGAGAAGGCTGGAGAGATAGTGTGGGAGTTAAGGGATTTGCTTGCATCCCTCCCACCCCCATCAAATCTCCTCCCTTGAGCACCACCAGGGATCACTTTGGGGCACCACCAGTGAGGCCCCCAGACAAAATAAGGTGAGGGTCTGAGATATAGTAGAGGGTTAATGTGTGCTGTCTTGCACATGCCCAATCCCTGTTTAAATCCCTGGAACTGGTACCATGTGCACCCCCAAGTCCTGCCAGAGCCAGGAGTACCCCCACGCACAAACCCACAGTCCTAAACATCAACCCAAAACCCAGAAAAACAGTGAGAGAGGGGGCTGGAGTCATAGTACAGCGGCGAGGGTGCTGACGTGGGTTCGATCCCTGGCATCCCATATGGGCCCCCCAGCCTATCAGGAGTGGTTCCTGAACACAGAGTCAGGAGTGACCCTAAACAGTAGTCATGATTAGTCATCAGGAGTCGTGGCCATTGTGGTGGTTGGGAGACGTACCGTCATGAGGCATTGGGGAAGGAGATGAAGACTAGATGCTGAGGACGAGATGTTGAGGACAAGAAGGTCAATGACAAAACATTGAAGATGAGGAGGAGAACGGAGACTCTGGCGACTTTGAGGTTTGAGACTTGGATGACGGAACTCTGGTGTCCAGGACTACGGCCAAAACGACGACTATGGCTGGAACTCCACTGCGGGTGTGTTTCCAAAACAGAAGCAATGAGAACAGTAGCAGAGTGGGGAGGGGGCTTGCCTGGGCTCAACCCCTGGCCCGCCATATGGTCCCCTGAGCCTCCCAGGAGTGATCCCTGAGCACCACAGGGTATGGTCTAAAAACCAAGAGAAAATGAATTGAGGGTCAGAAAGATAGTGGGCTGAGTGCAGCAGGAAGCCCGAGTTCAATTCTGGGCACTATATTGCTTCCTGAGCACTGCTGGGGGTGCCCCTCAGCCCCGTAAAATAAAATGTGATGTTGCTCATGTTCTCAACCTCACAGACGATGTTTTAAATATTTTACTATCTTAAAACCACATACTTTACAGCACAAAAGGAGTCTTTGGAGGCTGGAACATACCTCAGCGGTAGAACATAGGGTTCCCCCGAGGCTTGTAGAAGACCCTGAGTTTGATCCCCAGATACGCTAAGATAAGGTGGGACCCTGGGCACCATGGAATCCAGGCCACTCACCGGTGCCACCCACCAAGTATCCCAGCTGCACTGGGTGTGGCCCCAGTGGGCAAAGAAATTTCACTGAAGCTCTTTGGACTCAGGCAGGTGAAGTCCAGTGCTCTGGGGTTAAGCGAGGGCTCGGCCGCGGCCTCAGTCTTCACTGGCCATGTGGTCAGGTCCCCCCCCCACACACACACACACATTCTGGCTGGGTGGCAAGCACTTGCCTTCTTTGTGCTTCTCCCATACCTCACAAGGTCATGGTCACTCCATAGTGCTGTGGCTGAGGTGTGGCACCTGCTTTCTCTTTTTTTTTTTTTTTTGCTTTTTGGGTCACATCCAGTGATGCACAGGGTCAGTCCTGGCTTTGCGCTCAGGAATTACTCCTGGCAGTG